CAGACCAAAGACGTTGGGTCCGCTCAAGACTCTGTTGTCCGCTAGGACCGCGGGCCCGCCCCAGGTCCAGTAACGCCGTCCAGTGCCAACCTTACCAGCAGAGCCACGCTAGCGTGCGTGCAGGGTTTTGTGTGCGTATGTGGAGGGGGGGGGGGGGGGGTTAACAGGAGTGACACACCGGACCCAGGACATAGGACTCGGACCGGTCCGAACCGACCGCTGTCAAAGACGGCCCGCTATCGGCGTCTAAAGCAGAGCGGTCCCGTGCGCCAGTGCGTGCCCGTGTCTGGTCCCCGTGATCGCTTTTCCTGTGTCAGCGTCGCTCAAACAGTTCGCCCTCAGTCCATTTAAGGCGATTTTGTGAGGCGATATTGACGCAGTTTTTCTTGTTGGTCGTCGTTCTTCCTGGCAGCTTTGAAGCAGAAGATTTTAAATTGCTGCATTTTGTGTCTATTATATGACCTTTTAAACATCATGCAAATAACCAAGAGCGAAAATTTATAATAAACTAAAATTATGGATAGTACGACCTTATGTTTTTATGCAGAACCTGGTCACATCTGTACCAGTGAGTCCGGCCTGCTCAGCGAGTCCGACCCACATAACTCAGTGAGTCTGTCCCGCTCAGCCCAGTGAGACTGCCCCCTCAGCCCAGTGAGTCTGTCCCGCTCAGCCCAGTGAGTCTGTCCCGCTCAGCCCAGTGAGTCTGTCCCGCTCAGCCCAGTGAGACTGTCCCGCTCAGCCCAGTGAGTCTGTCCCGCTCAGCCCAGTGAGTCTGTCCCGCTCAGCCCAGTGAGTCTGTCCCGCTCAGCCCAGTGAGTCTGTCCCGCTCAGCCCAGTGAGTCTGTCCCGCTCAGCCCAGTGAGTCTGTTCCGCTCAGCCCAGTGAGTCTGTTCCGCTCAGCCCACTGGGTTTTAACCACTCACCCGTGAGCGGAACTTCATCGGGATATGAATAGCATATCCAGCTGGCGGTCCAGTCCATCGGGCCGGTGAAATCGATCCCGGCCGATCGGGAATGAGACTGGCGCTGTCTCTTTGTTTCGGCACGCGGGCGTCGTTATAACTGGTGCGCCCGATTGTTTCTGTCGTGGAACTGTGACTGGCATCCCTCCATATACAATGGACAGTGAGCCACTGCCAGCGCCAGAGAGCGGCTGATGTTAATATGTTGCCAATCGGACAGCCGGCATCTGTATGTTGGGAGCGGGGCTGGGTTTAGTGGTTTACTTTTTAACCCTAGAACGCCTAGGGGGGGGGGGGTTGTATCAACCCCCCCCCCCTGAGGTTTTTTCGAAGTGCACGCTAAACGGCTTGTCGTACCGGGCTGAAATTTTCAATACCCTCTGGGGCAACCTTTGCTCATCTTTTGCCGAAAAAAATTGATCGGGTCATGTCAGGTCACGGAGTTATGACGTCATAAGAGGTACAGCCTCCGGCCGACAGTTACCAAACGTGTGCGCCGAATCCCTAGGTTTTCTGCCGGTGATACCCACATTGTTTGATGGATCATGATGAAACTTCCCATGCATGTTGGGGCAAGCATTGGCTATCGTGTGGTGCAAGAAAATTGACCGGGTCAGGTCAGGTCACGGAGCTATGACGTCACAAGAGGAACAGCGTCCGGTACTATTTTTGAAAAGCGCCCGAACCACTATTTTGCTAATTCTTGTCACCTCAATGGGAATATGCAGCAATATTAGCTTCTATAGGGAGCAAATGGACCTCCCAAATCCAAAAATACAATCAGATTTCAAAAATTTAAATTTTGATTTTTCGAATTTCTGCCGCCGACTGTGACCTTGACGACTTCCGGCGCTCCCAACGCGCCATTTTTAGAGCTAGGGAAACGAAATACATACCAAACGATAGAGAATTGATCAAGGAACACGATAGTGAAGGTTTCAAGTCGATATCTCCCACTGTGTTGCCGCAATCGCCGCGGAAAGTTGAAAAAGTTTGATTTTTTCGGAAAATTTGACCTTTGACCGGTCATAAGTAGGTCAAATGTTGACCTAGGACCAAAAAATATACCACCAATCGCGAGATCTCGTTAAGAGCAATCCGTTGGTTTTTTCCGCTAAGCTCTACGACCTTCCGTTTCGAAACGCCGGGGGGGGGTCGTAACAACCCCCCCCCCCTGGTCGTTCGTGTTATGAGAAATGGCCTGGTCGTGCGAGGGTTAATCGAGTTAAACCTTTGTCTATACCTACTGGTGAATTTTGTCATTTGTCACGGTCACCTTTATCTAAAAAGGTGCAATGTATGCAGACTTGTGAGTAAGTTTCCACAACCCTTCGCAGGTGCACTTTTAGCCAGTCTGCAAGTAAACGATTATGCATTCAATTTTCCCAAGTTTTCTGCTGTTGATTGCTTGCTGCAGGGTAAATGTAAGTGTTTTCTGAAAGATCAGCATTTACCAATCATATGCTGAAGCTTCCTGAGCCGGATTCGGTCGTATTGGCTTTGATCGCATTGTTATGCCATTTATACCCCTGCGGGAACCCCCGACCCGGAGACACTGGGAGCAGTTTATTCTCTCAGTGCACTCATCGTTCAACGTCAGACCTGGTTCGTAGGCCGGTCGGTGCCGCGGGAATCCCCGCCTCTGTAAATACCACCATTGGTAGACAGCTCGCCTTGATTACCATCTGGTGATCTCACCCTGACGAGAACCAGTCACGGGTGAAATTCACGGCCACTCTCAGCCTTCGGCACGCTCCGCGGTCTCTCCCATCCCCTTTCGTGCGGGCGGACAGCGGGGCTCGGCCGGAGAGCCAGCGGCTGGTGTTACCGGCTCTCGGCGCGCCGTTGCAGTCTCCGAGTCTGTCCGAGCGGCCGGCGGACTGTGCCGCCGTACAGGGAGACTGCGACGCGGCGCCGGCTAGAAAGACGGTATCACTGGCGGTGTGTCGCCGCAACCACTCGGCCACTGCAGGTCCTCTGTGTTGCATGGAAAGTGGAAATTGACTGCACTGTCTCTGGGGGCCTGACGTTTGCCAATGGCCCGGACAGCCAGACGTCATTGTCTTTTTTATCGACTTTTGATTGCCTTTTGAAGCGTTTGCTCTTTTACTTTGACTGTTGTAGATACGCGACAGTAGGTAAGGTATCGTGCTTTGAAGATACCGTGCAATGCTCTGGCATATTAATTGAGTTTTAACATTCCCGTCTTGTCCATGCCTGAAGATATTCATGGAGACATGAATGTTTCATCGGAACTCGGAGCCACAGCGTCGGTCCGGAGTCCGGTGCTGGGTCGGAGACCTCCAGTCACGGTCAGAACCCGCGCCAGGCATCCCACGTGGTATCCAAACCTGTCCCAGTGGCTGTTGGCCGGGCCTGCCGGACCTTGTGGCGCTGTGGACGGTGTGGTTGGACTATAGCTGTCAGCTGAGCCCCGCCCGGCCTTGCCGGACCACGCCTGTAAACGGCCGAGGGCCCGCCGAGGCTGTTATAACGGTCGGTGAGTGTCGGAGGTGGCCGCCGCCCACCTCGGCACCGCCCGAACACCCGGGGTCCCGGCGGCCGGGCGGGCTGGGCGGCCGGCGGACAGCTGACTCAGGAAACCAACAGGTGGGCGGGCCGGTTACCGCCGGCTCCCGCCGGATCCGCTCGACCCCAGCCGCCCGTGCTGCACGACCAGCCCTGCTTCATCGGCGGTGGCAGTACCTACCTTGCCTCGTTGGAGGCTATACCCTGGAGTTGGCTGTTTGTAGTGTTTTGACAAATAAAATCAACGCGAGGTTGTTCTGAATATTGTTCCTGACCACGTTCGTTTCTATTCATCTGCTCATCGTCGGCTCGTAGGTGGCAGCCACAGAGCGTGGCTCGGTGCGGCGTTGGCCACTTGTGGCGCGGGGCCGGCCGGTTTCTCCCGGTGGGAGCCGCGCCGTGGTGTGGTCTCTCGACTCTCTCCCTGCCGGCGGCGCTGTTTGCGCGGCGCTGCTCGCCCCGGGCCGGTGTGTCATGCTGATTCAGATGCCCCTGGTCGGCGGCCTGTTCTCGGAACTGGAGCGCTGCTCCGGTAAACGCGCCTCCTGCGGCCTCGCACCGGCCGGTACGGTGGTATATACTATATACTTTGGTTCACTTTGTCTCTGCTTCTCGCCCTCTCCGGACTCCCCTCGTAAGGTGCGACAAGTGTGTCCCTGACCGGGCTTGGGACATTGAATGTTGGCGGGAAATACAGTCGGTGACTGGTTTACACTGACGGCAAATATAGGCAGTGTAGCCAAATAGTGAATAGTACTGACATCGGGTGGGCAGTAGGTATGCTTGCATTTGGTCCACACCTTCTGGTTCCTTTCTCAGCTCTCCGTTAGTGATATCAGCGGCGAAAGCTGATGATGTGCGATGTCACCTCTTCCGGCGGTGACAGCATCTTGTGTCAGCTGTCACCTGTTTCACAGCGCTCTTACCGGACTGTCACCCCAGAGTTATAGCGCCCGACCTCGGCTGTCACCTTATCTTATATCTTAAACCACACTGTCACCTGTCCCGGCAGTGACAGTGACAGTGTGGCTCCGCGGACCTCGACTTTCAGCTTCTCTTACAGTCCCAACCCACTGTCATCTGTCCTGACAGCGCTGCCAGGAACGCTGCTGTGTCATCCAGCCAGGATTTGCAAACTCGTTTCGCACATGACGAGGCATGACAAATCCTTTCTGGGATATCGCTGAATAGTGCGCAGTTTGGTGACAGAGAGGAGCATCAAAGAGCGTGTTAAAGATACTTGTCACCGCCCAGATACCAGGGTGGAAGGGTAGAGAGAAGGGTAAAAAGTGTACCGGTTGGGCTGGTTGAGAGGAGAGGGGTGGTTGGCTGCTGGACGGACGAATGTTTGATGTCCCCCCCCCCCGACACACTGACCACTGCTGACCTCATTGACCTCTCGCTGACCCCTGCTGAGTGCTGGTCCCTTCTCGTTCTCTAGTCTTCGCCGACCCTGCTGACCTCATTAACGTCTCACTGACCCCCGCTCTGTCTCTCCCTCCGCAGACACATATTCGACAACATGTCCGACGACGTCGTTCATGTGCTCGGCGTCTCAGAAGTGCATTCCGAACCAGTGGGTGTGCGACTACCAGCGCGACTGTCCAGACGGAGAGGACGAGCGACAGTCGTGTCGTAAGTACCTACCCGTCTGTCTCCCCTCCCCCCGTTCACCCGTCCGCCCTCACGGTACCCCTCGCCCCATACACATACTCAGAAATGCATACGGTCGGCCGGCTGATGTTGATCGGTCAGGCCACCACGGCCCCCTTCCCCTCCCCTCCCCTGACGTCGTACCGGTTACTTGGGCACTCGTACGGGCTCGATAAAGCACTCGCACGGTCTCGATGTGAGCCGGTAGCACACAATATGTACAGGTGGAAGATGCCTACAGACGACACGCTCTCAATTCGTGCCTATTGTTAGCTTGCTGCCGCTATAAATGCTTTCCAATTCCAAACGCTGAATAATGTGGTGAATTATATAGCGCACCATTCCGGTCTGCCGGCGGCTAGAGCGGCCGGCCGGTCGGCCCACCGAGCGCCGGCCGCGCCATGACCTTGACTGACCTTGACTGTGAGTCGGTCAGTGCTCGGGCACGGGGGCGGGGGGGGGGAAGGGAGGAGCCGCCCGGCCGCCGTACGAAACTACGCGCTCTACCGTGCTGGGAACGCTGCACCCAAGCACGTTGTGTTTTCGGCATCCGAGTTTTTAAATCGGTCTGTGATTTTGCACTGCCTCAGGACTACTCCAATCCCGAGACTGGATGGTCAATGCTGTACCGAATTCCTTCGCACTTGCTGTTTGTCTATTTCAGGAGCTTGGCTTAGTGAGCAGCTGCCTGGTTTGATTTACATTTGACCTGCCGCTTGGCGCTGATCTCGTAGAAATGTTTTTTTATCGCAAGCATGCATCACAATGAGACACATTATTTTATTTTCTACTTAAATTTGGCCCTACATTAAAACCTGCGCTCGCTATGGTGTGGAGATCAGTGGGTAAAGACTCATGACCCCTGACCGCTCCCCTCTCCCGTAGCTCCGCCGGTCTGTAAGGACGGCGAGTACTGACCTCTGACCTCCCCCCCCCCCCAGCTCCGCCAGTGAGTACTGACCTCTCATCCTGCCCCGCAGCGCCGCTGGTGTGCAAGGACGGCCGGTAGTGACCTCTGACCTCTGCCCTGTGACCTCTGACCTCTCCCTCTGTCCCGCAGCGCCGCCGGTGTGCAAGGACGGCGAGTTTGCGTGCGGCGAGTACCGGTGGAACCACACGTACTGCGTGCCCAACCACCACCGCTGCGACATGCTGCAGGACTGCGCCGACGGCTCCGACGAAAAGGACTGCAGTGAGTAGAGAGGGTCTCCAGATGGCCACAGTGGTCCACGGGGGTCCCTGGTGGTCCTTCAGAGGACCTCTCTGAGGTTCCCTGAAGTCCCTCTTGTTGTCCAGGTGGATTTCCTGAGATCTCGGCTCTTCTTAGGGTCCAGCGATAAGACGCGGACAAGCTAATATGGCTAACATTAAATAAGCAAAACGGATCGTGCAAATGTTTACACTTCCGCTTGCTGATTGGTCGGTCTGAAATTTTTGCACGTTGGCTGTAATGGCTCGGTAGACGGTAAACAGGACTATCATAGTACTCTGGGACAATACTGTGACTGACAGCGCACTGAGTCTCAGTGTGCAGTAGTCAGTGTGCGGTAGTCACAGTGTGCGCTGACGGTCCAGTGTGGACTGTCACCGGCGGACGGTACCGGACCCCACAGTGAGACTTTCGGGCCCGGCCGGCTGTCAGTGTGCCTCACATACAGCCGAGCCCCGCCGGCAGTCCGCTGTCTCCCGTGCACTGCTGTGCCCCTGTCGGCTGCGGACGGCGCTCCGGCCCTATCTCGGGCCGGTAGGGCGTGGCGTCACGGCCCGCTCGCCGGCCGTCACGGTGTCGCCTGCAGTCGTGACGTGACGTGCCGTCGCCGCCGTGACGGACCGGCGGGGTGGCGGCCGCCGTCTCCAGTCGGACCGGGCCGGGCCGGGCGCCCCCGCTGTATGTACACACTCCCTGTACCGGACCCACTCAGATCGATCCGCGGTCGATGTCGAAACGTGGAGTGACGGGTGACAGGTGACCACCGACGGAAGGCCGCGCATGTTGACCTAGGGCCAACTGGAAGGATGCGAACACATCAGCAGAGTTTTTCTTTTTAGTGTTCATAGTGTGGCAATCATAGAAATGTAATAATTACATCGTTTCTGTTAATTTTCTACTCAATTTGCTGTCTGTACAAACCTATTATGCGATATTTATTGCCTCAATTACCAATATACCTAGTCATTTTTAAGTCGCCGAAGCCTATCGTGACAATGCCTATAGAACTGCGGGTAACTGATTGGTAACTGATCCTGATTGGTGAGCCCAAGCCCATAAGACGAGCGGTTATTTCGAGGGCCTTCCCCGGCTGCTGTATGCGGATAATCGCCATTCGTCTGAAAACCGACGGTGTATGGTGCCAGCTGTTGCCAGGCTCGGTTGACACGCGTCCCGTGCCTTTAGTTTGTTGTTTGGCCAGCCTTGAAGCCTGTTTTTAGTAGCGAGTTTGCTGACGTCAATCCTTTCGAGCGTGATATGAACGAACGTAAAATGACGCCGCATTTTGGCGACTTAACATTTACCTTCACGAGTATTTATTAACTGCCTTTTCAACTGAACAACCCACATCGCAGCCAATCAAAGGGCCATTCTCTGATGTTTTGTTCGACGAAGGCCACTGGCCACTTGCAGGGCCATGCAGTTGCTGATATTGCATTCACGTTGAACCTGAACAGAAACGTTGTTTTTAAGTTTGCAGGATTAAATAAATCATCGTGATGCCATTTTACATTATTAAAATAGGTGATTAACTATTAAGTAATCAGAAGCTTTTGTGTTGACTGGCCTGGCAACACAGGGTGGACTTTTGGTATAAGAGATCCAACTCAATTCCGATTTTTTTTCTTTAACACATCTTCAGTCTCACCAGTGTAGCACTCCAAGAATTGGCGAACCGGAGGGCTGCCTTTTTCCCACCATTTCCCGCACACGGTCAGACTGACAGATGTGTGCGCGTGTGCTGGACTAACTGTACCCTCCCCTCCCCCAGATTACCGGACGTGCCTGCCCACCGATCACAAGTGCAGCTCGGGCCTCTGTATCGCCGCCAATAAGAAGTGCGACGGCTACTGGGACTGTCGAGATCACTCTGATGAGGAGATGTGGTGCGAGGGCACCTCGTGCGAACTCAACCAGACCAGGTGGGTGACGGCGGGGAGGAAGGGAGGGGGAGGGGTGGAGAGTATCGAACTCAGCTAGACCAGGTGGGGGACGGGAGTGTGACGGGGGAGGGGAGGGTGTGATTTACCTGACCGGACCGTGGACCCGACCAGGCCGAGACACGGCGGTTGAGAGCTCTGAATTAGGCACTGGATCTGCCACTGACGCAACATACACTTGTGTGAACCAACGTCTGAAAATTGTGCACTTAAATTGCGTGCGTCTGTGTGCTAGGTGCCTTTCTAACCGGCCCTGTGTGCCTGTCGCAGGTGTAAGGACGGCAAGCGGTGTATAGAGAAGGACCAGGAGTGCAACCACCGGAACGACTGCGCTGACGGCAGCGACGAGGTCGACTGCAGTGAGTACCGCCGACCGCCGGCCGTCCGTTTACCAACCGCCTACTGTCCACCGTCCGTCCGGGCTGAGTCGCTGTCCATTCGCGCTAATCGTAATGGCCAGTCCGTGAGGGTAACTGCAGGGTTGAGACGAACCCGCGGGGGTAAGGTCCTAGTGAAACCGCTCACCGACCCCACCCCGACCGCAGAACAGAGACAGCGCCGAGGAAGGAGCCCAGAGAGGGCACCTGCAGTGAATAAGTGCATTAGGAAGAGGAGGGCAGCGCTGTAGGAGAAAGGGAGAGCTCTGTCCATCTAACGGAGAGCGGTCGTCCCTGAGTGAGTTTAGCAGCGCCATGACCCGGTCAGGGCTCAAGTCTGGGCCGTCCGGGGTGGCCACCCCCACCAGTCTCTGCTCACGAGCTGGGCGACCCCGCGACCCCCCTGTAACGACCGGTGCAAGCCACCGCGCTGTCACTGTCTGCTGGCCACAGCGGGGAGGGGAGGGCTACCGCAGCTGGAGACGGCTGAGGACAGCCTGATACGGCTCAGACGGCTGAGGTGCCTGGGGAAGGGGGAGATGGCTGGGTATGGAGGGGATATGGCTGGGGACGATAAAGGATGGCTGGGGATAGCCGGGGACAGTGAGGGGCGGCAGAGTACACCTGTAGGCTGCTCGACATGTCGGGCCTCTGTTCCCATTTCCGTCGTGGTCGCCGCAGTCAGCTGTTCTACACGCCGCGCGGGTGGACCGTTATGTAACACTCGGTGCCACGCCGCGCGCTGCCGCCGGTCGCCGGGGTGGGGCCGCCCGCCGCCAACACAGGGCAGGATGGAGCTGACTGGCTGGGTCCCGGTACCGCACAGCTGGTCGCAGTGGGTGGGCCTGTTCCCTACCCTCACCCCCGGAGTCCATGGGGATGGGAGGCCGCAGCGGCTGCGGCCCTCTCCTCGCCCTGCTGCCCTCGGTGGAATGCATCGAATAACATTGCACTGAGCGACCCCCGGCTGGCATGCCATTCATTGGCAACCGGGTGAATTTGGACCACCACTCGGGGTGAATTGGGACCACTCCCTGGGCTCCTGATACCACCGACGTGCTCGGCTCAGATTTCGCGAAGGGACGACTTGGCAACTGCCTGGTCTGAACCGTTTCCAGGCGATTTGAAATATCCGTGTTATGGCACCTTGTCAAACACTAGTCAACTAATCTTACGGCTTCAGGGCTTCGCCACGACGACCGACACACGCCCTCCAGTGTCGGTGGGTACCGAACTCGTGCCGTGCCGCCGCCCGCCGTGCCCGCCGTGTCCGCCTGTGACCCCTCCCGTCTGACCCCCACCCGCCCGTCCGGCAGACTTCCCGGCGTGCCATGAGGGCCAGTTCCGCTGCGGAAACGGCCTGTGTATCCCGCACCGCTGGAAGTGCGACTCGTCGCCCGACTGCGCCGACGGCTCCGACGAGGCAGACTGTCAGGTGAGAGCCCCGGCGCCCGCGGGATGGTTAACGGGAGGTCTCGGGTTCGATGCTGCGCAGGGGAGGCATTCGTTGTCCGCTGCTTCTGATATGTGACATAGTGTTTTGTTATTGAGTTTGTCGACTGACGACTCAATCTGCTCTGTGCTAGTTGGCACAGATGACATCACGTGACGCTGTTTGTGCTGCCCCCAGGCCAAGGACTGTCCGGAGGGCCAGTTCCTCTGTGAGACAGAGAAGAAGTGCATGGACAACACGGTGCTCTGTGACACGGTCATCGACTGCCAGGGAGGTTTCGACGAGGAGAACAAACAGTGCTGTGAGTGTCCCCGACACGCGGGCTCCGCGGAGGGTTCTGAGTATCTGCCCGCCTTACCGAGGGCAATAGCACGGGGTCGGACAGCGAGGAGATACAGTACAGGGTATGGCTGGATGGGGTCCTAAATTTCAACAACTGAGGGACGTGCCCAGGCATGCAATCGTGCTGTAGCGTACGCTCCTGCAGGGTCATTTATTGATCGACACGTGCCGCAACTATACTGAGCGACGTCGTGCATTGTTCATCCCTAATCAATGCTGCCTGCCAGCCGAGACGGGTTTCGTGTCTGTGGGTCGAACTGCTTGTCTTAACTCGCTGCAGCGAGTGTCCTGTATCAGACTCTAACCTCCCCACTGCCAAGGACCCCTGTGACTCCCTGCAGTGAGTCTGACTCTGACTCTGACTCCCTCCGATCCACAGCCAAGGACCTTTGTGAGTCGCTGCAGTGCGAACACGAGTGCCGCGCCTCGGCCGATGGCGGTATCTGCATATGTCCCGAGGGCAAGGTGTTGGCTGAGGACGGCCGACTCTGCGAGGGTGAGTAGCGAGTACCGAGTACCGAGTACCGAGTACCGAGTACCGAGTACCGAGTAACGAGTAACGAGTAACGAGTAACGAGTAATGAGTAACGAGTAACGAGTAGCGAGTACCGAGTAACGAGTAACGAGTAACGAGTAACGAGTAACGAGTAACGAGTAATGAGTAGCGAGTAACGAGTAATGAGTAGCGAGTAACGAGTAATGAGTAGCGAGTAACGAGTAATGAGTAGCGAGTAACGAGTAATGAGTAGCGAGTAACGAGTAATGAGTAGCGAGTAACGAGTAACGAGTACCGAGTAACGAGTAATGAGTAGCGAGTAACGAGTAACGAGTACCGGCTACATAGAGAATTGAGTATCGTTTGCCATGTACCATGTACCTACTGCGTGCATAATGCATGGTGCATAGGCACAATGCATTGTACTTTATAGAGTTCAGGTCCAGGTGCGGTGAAGGTTCGCGATGTGCGATTGAACCGTGTCACGTGCTTTGGCGAGCTGCCAACAGGACTTACCTTCCCCCTCCCATCCCGGCCGATCCTATTCAGCCGGTAGCACGTGACCCCGAGTTGGCCAACACCACCCTGGGTAGGAAAGGCACGCCTGCTCCGGGATTCACGCAAATAAAAAGATTAAAGAAACCACACTGGTAGCCGTGAATATCATCGTCTGTGGCAGGTTTGCATATTTTGCAAGCACGCTACCACAACACGTTTATAATGCTTCAGATTTAACGTAAACATTACCCATCTCCTAAGCATCCTGGTCTATCTGTTTTCCCATTATAGAATCTCGTCTCTCTGCGGGGATTGCTGACAATTACGGGGCCGGCTTGCGTGCCGGAGTGGCTGGAATGGAAGGCCGCGACGCCGTGCAGTGGAGGTCGATAATTGACTGTCGTTTCGCGTGGTCAAGGTTTACTGGCCGATGGTGGCAGTCACGTCCCTCTCGCTCTGTGTGGAGTGTGTAAAGTCTCCGCCCGGGGTCGTCTGTTGGCTGTGGAAAATGCACTCTCGGGCCAGAGGCTGGTCGGTCTCTGTGACTGATTGTTGTATGCCATCACCCGTCCCCACGAGTACGACCGCCCTCCGACCGGCCCTCTCTGTGTCGGCAGACCTGAACGAGTGTAACGGCTGGGGCTACTGCGACCACTTTTGTACCAACACAGACGGCAGCTACAAGTGCCTCTGCAAGGTCGGCTACCAGCTGAACGGAACCGTCTGTCTGGCAGAGAACTCGGACAAACTGCGCCTCTACTACGCCTATCAGACCAAGGTAGGTGAATACACAGACAACCCAGCGGCACGGGATAACTCGGACAAACTGCGCCTCTACTACGCCTATCAGACCACGGTATGTGGTGGCTCACAGACAACTCAGCGGCATGGCATAACTCGGACAAACTGCGCCTCTACTACGCCTAACTATCAGACCAAGGTATGTGAATACACAGACAACTCAGCGGCACGGGATAACTCGGGCAAACTGCGCCTCTACTACGCCTATCAGACCAAGGTATGTAAATGCACATACAACTCAGCGGCAATACCCGGACAAACTGCGCCTCTACTACGCCTATCAGACCAAGGTAGGTGGTGGCTCACAGACAACTCAGCGGCATGGTATAACTCGGACAAAGTGCGCCTCTACTACGCCTATCAGACCAAGGTATGTAAATGCACATACAACTCAGCGGCAATACCCGGACAAACTGCGCCTCTACTACGCCTATCAGGCCAAGGTAGGTGGTGGCACACAGACAACTCAGCGGCACGGGATAACTCGGACAAATTGCGCCTCTACTACGCCTATCAGACCAAGGTATGTAAATACACAGACAACTCAGCGGCAATACCCGGACAAACTGCGCCTCTACTACGCCTATCAGACCAAGGTATGTAAATACACAGACAACTCAGCGGCATGGTATAACTCGGACAAACTGCGCCTCTACTACGCCTATCAGACCAAGGTAGGTGGTGGCACACAGACAACTCAGCGGCATGGTATAACCCGGACAAACTGCGCCTCTACTACGCCTATCAGACCAAGGTATGTAAATACACAGACAACTCAGCGGCAATACCCGGACAAACTGCGCCTCTACTACGCCTATCAGACCAAGGTAGGTGACCAATGAACATTGAACATATGTACAGTGTACACACAGACAACCCAACGGCATGGTATAACCCGGACAAACTGCGCCTATACTACGCCTATCAGACCAAGATAGGTGATGGCACACAAATGGTAGGTGATGGCACACGAGAAAATGATCTCCTAAGAACGGGAAGGACGACCTTATGGTTGCTGGCGCGACTGGTGAGGAGTTAGGGTGGGCACATAATGATCACGACGCGTCTCTGAACCCCATGACAATCAATAAGAGGATTTACGACGGAGCACTCAGTGGTGCTAAGTCGCTTCCCTTGAACTGGATGATATTAGTGATTCTCCGATATCGTATGTTGTGTATTAGTTACTCAGGCTTGAGCAATACCCAGGCTTGAGCAACACCCGTTCCAGGTATTCATTTTCTAATGCTCACATTACCCTGAATTCAGGCATTGTTTGCCGGGTCGGCGCGGCCGCTGAAATTGTGGAACATTCCAGTCTCTGTCGCTGTGCTGTTTAATGTTATATTGTACTACGTCACCCGGTGGATGTGAGTCAGCTCACTTCACGGCTGATATCGCGCAGTTGTGGGACGGTGCCTGTCGAGCGGCTCGTGTCTGGACCGGCCGGTGCCGCGGCGCCCGGTGACGTCCCCACCGCTGCGGCCGCCGCGCGGAACCGGTCCGGCGTGTCGAGCTCAGCGGCGCCTGCTCGTACCGTCCGTCCGTCCCTGGGTGGTTCTCGGGAGCGGGCTGGTACTCTGCGGCGGTGGCGGAGCTCCGTACCAGAGCGGCCCGGGCGCTCCGTCACAGTCTGTAGTGAGCAGCTGAGCCGGAATGGTACCGGCGGCACGTACTTTATAGCGCAAACCGCCGCGATACGAACAGACGAGTCGCTCCGCCGACAGAGCTGCACCCATTCCCGGCGAGCGCTGCCGGCACCCGCCGGGACACCCGGACTGTTAGAGCGTGTCCGGCCAGCTGAAAACAATGGCTCTGTTCTGCGCCCTTCACACGATTTGGTCTCGCCTGCCGAGCACCGTTCATATCCGCCATGGGTCGAGCGAACACTTTCTTCTTCCTGTGCACACTTGACGGTGGAGTCATTCAATTTGCATTGGCTCAAACAATGCGGTACACAGGGGGTAACTAATGCTGTTGAGTTGTGTAAACTGTGGGGTCTGGTCAGGTCTCGGCTGTGCAGCCTGCCAGCCGCGGCTGTATCCGTTAATGAGTAATCGGCTTCACCTGAAGACGAACCGCCTCGGCTGGGCCGCTGCGCAGGTGGTAAACTGGTTTCGCAACGCGTCTCGCCGGCCTCACGGTGGTGGGCGGCCGGCACGGCGTGACGCAGAGCCAGCGACCCCGTGACGGACGCGGCCGACACGGTGACGGGTGACGCGTCACACGGCGCGTCCCTTCCCCGGGCGGTCTCCTGGGGTCTCGGTGGTCCTGGACCGCCCGGCGCTGGAAGGGTTATCACTGCCGGCCAACTCTGAACTGGGAGTTCCCAGGGCCATGCTCTGTTGACTGGTGCGCCATGGCGAGTACGGACTGGGAGCGGATACCGTATTGCCCTCTGATGGAGCGCTGACCGCTGACGGAACGCTGCCCACTGATGGGGCGCTGACGGAGCGCTGACTGAGCGCTGACCGCTGATGGAGCGCTGATGGAGCGCTGCCCGCTGACAGAGCGCCTCCCGCTGACGGAGCGTTGGCCGCTGACGGAGCGCCTCCCGCTGACGGAGCGCCTCCCGCTGACGGAGCGCTAACGGAGCGCCGCCCGCTGACGGAACGCCTCCCGCTGACGCCGGTGACACCGCCAGCGGTGACGCTCGGAAGTGCGCCGCTCGCTGCGGCCGGCACGGCGACATACAGGTGTGGCGCGGGGCTGCGGCCGGCAGCTCGCTGCTCTGCGGCTGGTATCCGGTACAGTGACAATGGTCTGATGTGGGACTGCGACCGGCGCGGTCCGTTTCCGTTTGGGTGGCGTGCTGTGCCACGGCGCCGGTCGGTACCACGCCGCGTGGCACAACGTGCCGCCGCCGCTGCCGGCGGGTGATTCACCGTCAGAGGCGCGCGGCCGACCGGTCCGGCCGACACCGACAGACCATCTGTGGACCAGCAGCAGACCAGCAGCAGACCAGGAATGGACCAGGGCGGCGGTGTGACCGATGAAGATCGTCGGTGTCCATCGTAGGCTTGACAGGCCGAGGAACGGGCGGAACGGGCTTGGGGCATTACAACCGAGCGAAATAATAGCCAGCTGCCTACTGATCATTACGTCCCGTTCATTTTTTATTTTTACCAATAATTAGTAGGTATGTTTTTACAGCTGCGTCGATAAGTGACAACTTGCGAAAGTCGGAGTTGTTTAGCGCTGTCCATTGCTGAACATTTTTTTTTGTACCTTTAACTGCCTGTCGACTCACGAAGGGTGACCGCGGCACCTACCCATTGAGTGGGCACTGGGCAGCCTTGAGCCGGGGCTGTGTGAGCTCCGCCGGCCCGGCCTTGGTCCAGTGCACCGCGGCGCAGCTCCGTGTTTTCCCGAGTCTTCGAGCACCCGGCGTCATGTCGCCGGCGGCGGCAGAGACGAGCTGTGGCAGGGGGAGGGGGCTGAACGAGCACCGACGGCCCTGGACAACCGATAGACAGTGGATACGGTGGCCGATGGATAGCACGCAGTGAATGGTGAACGGTGGGCGTCCCACCCATGTCCCACCTCACCCCACTGTCCTTCGAATACGGTGGACGCAGTGGTCGGTCCCCCGTCCGTACGGGTCCGGCGGTCACAGCCCATCCCTTACCCCACGGCGGCGGACCGGACGAATAACAATTAGCGGTTCTGCCTGTAGCTGGGGAAGACTGCCGCGATGGCAGGGACCGTGTGTGTTTTTGTGCCTGTTTGTGAGACGGAGGCGGCACTGAAAACGACTGCCGGCCTCGGCGGGGACGACTGTCCGTGCCGGACCGAACCCTGCATACTGATAATGACTGTGGTCGGTTCGGACCCGAGGTAGCCGGTCTGCGCTGTGCAGTCGGCAGCCGGACTGCCCCCACTGGGGAGGGGACCGGGGGGGGATTATACGGCAGCTTACACTGAATAACAATACGATACGGTGGGCAGGCACGCGCAGTATGCACGCCGCACGCCGCACATTGCACAACGGTGTATTGGAAGTGCGCAGTAATGAAAAACCAAAACGAAATGCGCTGCCGGACGGCACTGACGTCCGCTCCTCCGACAGATCCTGCGGCTGGACCCGCGGAAGAAGGACGTGGAGGTGGTGGCCAACACGACGGCCGCCAGCGGCGTCGACTACCACTACCAGAAGGGCATGCTGTTCTGGTCCGACACCGACACAAGGAAGGTAAGACCGACGACCCCTATGCGCCCCTGTGTCCGCCCCCCCCCCCCACCGCGGCCCGCCCGGGCTGTGTGGATCTGCGCCGCCGGACCGACTGTGACCTTGGCTCCACAGCGCTTCGGCCATTTGATCCGGGATGAGAGCGGCTTCTGGCCTAGCTCATGATGACTAGAAGAGATCAGTCCGTGTGGCATGGCGGATTGTATTATGTAAAATGACTTTCATGGAAACTCTGAGTATCCTTGTTCCATTCTGGTTGCATTGCTGGTGGGATTCCCCGGACTGTGTTATTGTTATTCGTGTTCCATAATGATCAGCGGTCAGTGGCCGCTATTGGTTTTCCCTGTTCAGTTCCGAGCCAGGAGCACTACCAAGTACCAATGCGCTCCTGTCTCTGTCCACACCGCCGTTCCCTGTCCGTCCCTGTCCGTCCCCGCGCCGTCTCCGTCTCGTCTCCTTCCCCTCCCAGTTCCGTCTGACTGAGGAGTGGTCGAGTGCCATGACCCGGTCTCGGCAGCACCACCCCTCCCCATCCCCTCCCCGTGCCGTCCCGTCTTTCACCCCTGGTCACGGTCGGCAAGACCTACATATCTATCGTGACCGGCGACTGGTCAGCCCGGGAAGGGAAGGGAGGGAGGGGAGGTACCGTACTGTTTCGTGACCACCGCGCGGCCGGTGGGCCGTCTCGGGGGAGGGGGAGGGAAGGGGACGGGGTGGGTGGGAGGGGAGGGTCAGGGGCGCCGGCGTACACTCAGTGACTCACGCCTTATCGACGAACAGAGCCAGAGCTAGATGTAGCCAGGACCCGCGAGCAGCTGAACCTCAGACGGCCGCGAGTCCGTGAGACGGACCGTGGGGCCGTGTGTCCGTGAGACTGACCGTGGGCCCGTGACCTATCGGCGCCCGGTCAGCCGTTCCGTGCCGGCCGCTGCCGTGTCGCCGCGCACGGTCCGTCCGGGGGCCGCGGCCGACATACCCCGGTCCGACCCCAGCTCTGTCAGCGGCTCACAGCCCCTGTAAGGGCGCTGCAGGATCCCACGGCCCCTCAGGTCACGACACCCCGGCTGGAGCCCCCGCCGGCCGGCTGCCGCAGAGCGAAGAGCAAAACGGCAAACAGGCTGTTCGTACCGCTGAAATAAACAGGAAATTCACAACGAACAGATGTTTTCCTCTTCCGATGACTGCTTTCAGATGCCTTCTTCTGAACTTGGAAGGCTCTGGATCCATCTAGCTTTTCCTGTGTTCGAAAATTTGCCTTGCTCCTTATGTCCGAGTTTTGGTTTGTAGATGCTTGTAGTACCCACATAACAACTGAAGAAGCCCTTTTGTTGTTCGTGGAAGCGATGGGTATGCAGACGTCGTGTGGTGCTACCGAAGCCCATCATCTATCAGTGTCCTAATCTGGTGTTGGGCCGGACTTCCGTTGGCGTGCGGCCAGGCAGCGGCCACCCGCCCCGGTGACGTGTGAGTTGTGTGGCCGGGCGGGCGGGACGCCGCGGCGGCCCACCCGTCCCAGTGGCGTCCCACGGAGCCCTCACCGCTGCTGACCGGCCCGTGTACCCCGCGCGGCCCGCCCCTGCCCCCGCCTGCAGCCGCCAGCGGCCGTGAAGAGGTGTCGGCGGCGGCGTGTTTTTCCTCGTCGAGAACGGGCCGGCTGGCTCTCGGGCACATGCAGCGGAACATGGCCGGCGGCCGGGCGGCCGGTAAAATTCGACCGGCCCACCGCGGCCGCGCCGGGGACCCGTTTGTGACGTCACGCCGGGATGCTCGGACGGCCGATAATCCCGGTAGGCAGCCGGGCCGCGCGCTACGGCTGCACCACGGGTCCGGTCCGCCCGCCGGCAGCACAGGGTCTATGTATGGGATAGCGGTATTTACATAGAGGCGCGCTGTCCGGCCGGCCGGTCGCTGCGCCCGCGTCCGCACCTGGTACCGTATCGAGGTACTCAGAATAATGCTATGGTTCCTTTTTTTATTTGGTCATTTGATTCTACGTGAGTCTCCAAAACAGTCATGCAATGCTTATGGAAATTTATTTAAACTTGATTAGTTTTCATCATTCATGTCAACTAACCTACCTATTCTAGTTTCCTGTGAAGTCCAGCGTACGCTTGAATTGGTCCGTTGGCGTTGTAAAAGGCCGTCTCCTTCAAAGTTGTTACTGAGCCCGTGTGGCGTGTTCGTTCACTGGAATAGAGCTGTGCGCATGACTACAGATCAGGGTACCGAGCGGGCGATCCGGCTCACTGCCGAGCGTTTCTGGCGATCGACCTGCGCTGCTCCCAGCCGTTCCTTGAACTGCCCGACAGTCGTGAATCAATGCATGGTCTGGCGCCGGGTAAACCACTAATTGAGCCGCCGGATACCTTCCAGCGAGCCCTCCGAACGGCTGGGGTAGAAAGCCGACTGCCAGTGACAGTGTGTGGCATGCAGCGGCTATTGTCAGCCGATTTTTACCATTCCCAGAACACAGGACAGCGCGAAAATCCACGTCGTAAAAAATAGCAGCCTATTTTCCTGTCCGGTCGGCGGCCATCTGGGCCGCAGTCAGCCGATGATGCGGTGCATTTTTGCTGGTTTCTTGCTCACCAGGAGAGCCAGTCGTGCTGACAGGGGACGTGGGTGCGGCCGGATTGATGTGCTCCCATCGCCGGCCACCTGGGCATCGTCAACGCTACTTTCCGCACCGAACCGACAACGTGAAACCAGTCAAAACAGCATACGAAGTGCAGCGGAAACCAAAGTCCAAAACGGCCATCGCTTAAAGCCTATGAATTCCAACTACCTCTCAATTGTGATATATTGTGATATGAAAATTGCAATGACATTGCAGCATTCCTTCGTGTCCGTGTGCTCATCCTCCGTGCTGTGTGCTCTGTACCCACCCGTGTGCCCTGTGCTCACCCATGTGCTCTGTGCTTACCTCTGTGCTCTGTGCTCCAGGTGTACCGGAGCCGGCTGAACCAGGACCCGGGTACGGCGGTGCTCAACATCAGCACCAGCTCCACGTGGTCGCCCGTGGCCGTGGCCGTTGACTGGATCGGAAACAACGTCTATGTTGCCGACATGATCGGTCAGAAGGTGGACGTGTTCACCATCGACGGCAAACACCACGCCATCGTCATCGGCTTCAACCTGACCAGCCCGCGAGACGTGGCGCTCGACCCGCTCATGGGGTCAGTACCGTAGGAAAGGGGAGTGGGAGGGGGTCAACCTGACCAGCCCGCGAGACGTGGCGCTCGACCCGCTCATGGGGTCAGTACTGCAGGGAGGGGAGGGGGGAGGGGGGGGGGTCAACCTGACCAGCCCGCGAGACGTGGCACTCGACCTGCTCATGGGGTCAGTACTGCAGCCTGGAGGAAAAAAGAGGGCTGGGGGTGGCAGCGAGGATGAGCGCAAAGGGGAATGAGTTTTTAGATGTCTGGATGAGCGGGGGAGCTGAACGGCTTAAAAACGAAGGCTGATGCAAAACTCAGAGAAATAAGTCACTCTGGATTGCCGTTAAGTCCAGTTAAATACCTTTGATATGGCTGGACTTTTCCAGCCAGCACTCATTCCGCAACCGTTTTCGGTTGGTTTCACCGCCTTCCGTTGGCCACTGCCAGATTCACATTGCATGTCTCGATAGCAATCGCATTGTGCACGGCCGAAAGATGCCGTAAAAATGGTCGGGCTCAGCGAAGAGCGGGGCCTTTCTGGGGAGTCTGGTGGCCGTCTCTGCTAGTCATGCCGACTCGAGCAGTGCGCTGGGCTGGCCAGGGGGCTGACGGAGCGGCCCCTCTGAGCCGGGTCAGCGCCCTGCCGGCGCCCGCCCGGTGTCCCCCCGCTGCAGGAATGCACCTGTTGCGTGCAGCCGCCGACCGCAGGCGGGGGCGGGGGCCGACCGAGCCGCCCGCTATGGCACTGAACTGGGCTGGTGTGTGCTGCCGACTGCGTGACTGCTGAGCGCGGATAGCCACCGGACCGGGGAGGGGGCGTCATGGCGTGTACTGAGACCCCCGCACAGTATGTCACCGCGCCGCCAACAAAGGACAGATGGTACGCGCTGGTACCGGGTCGACAGGTCCGGGACATAGCACCGGCACCCAGTTACAGCGTGGGACACAGCTGCGGTCCGTATCGGCCTATGTACCACGCCAAGTACCGAGGGGGGCACAGCTGCTGTATACATACTGACTTGTGTACCCATCAGGTACCGCTGGGAGGTACACACGCTTGTACTAACCTCTGTGCACCCCTTGCAGGTACATGTTTGTGGCCGACCAAGACCGGATCGTGCGCGCCAACATGGACGGCACGGAGCTGCGCGCGCTTGTGTCGGAGGCCATCTACCAGGCGTCGGGAGTCGCTGTGGACATCATCACCAAACGAGTCTACTTCTGTGACTCGCTGCTCGACTACATCGAGACGGTCGACTACGAGGGAGAGTTCAGGTACGACGGGGGAGTACAGGTACGAGGGGAGTAGTACCTATACGTAGCAGGGTAATGTTATACCTGTACGAGGGATGGTAGGACCGGACTTCCCCGGTCCACCTGACCGAAGGGTGACATCACTGGCACCCACGCACGGCCATCATAGTGCTGTGGTGTGGCCATACGGTGACCATGTTGGGAAAGTTTGTTTTGAAGCATTCCGGATGCTACCTGGAAATATCGACGAGTAGGAAGGAAATATTACTCTATTTTCATTACAGTATGAAAAAACTGTCATTGAGCGACACTGTGAGATAACTGAATCCCATTAGGCCATGTGCGAACAGGATGTGTGTACAGCTTTAGAGCTGCGTTGCTCGGTAAGGTTGCTGACGCGCTGGTGCGATCGGCGTTCGGTCGCTGTCTGACTGGCCGTGTCCTTGTACCCGTCTGTCCGTTGTGCTGTCTGACCCGTGTACCCGTCTGTCCGTTGTGCTGTCTGACCGGCCCGTCCGTGTACCCGTCTGTCCGTTGTGCTGTCTGACCGGCCGTGTCTGTCCGTTGTGCTGTCTGACCGGCCGTGTCTGTCCGTTGTGCTGTCTGACCGGCCCGTGTACCCGTCTGTCCGTTGTGCTGTCTGACCGGCCCGTGTACCCGTCTGTCCGTTGTGCTGTCTGACCCCCTGTCCGTGTACCCGTCTGTCCGTTGTGCTGTCTGACCGGCCCGTGTACCCGTCTGTCCGTTGTGCTGTCTGACCGGCCCGTGTACCCGTCTGTCCGTTGTGCTGTCTGGTCCGTGTAGCCGTCTGTCCGTTGTGCTGTCTGGTCCGTGTAGCCGTCTGTCCGTTGTACTGTCTGCCCCCCCCCCTGTCCGTGTACCCGTCTGTCCGTTATGCTGTCTGACCGGCCCGTGCGCCCTGTCAGGTTCCCGGTGCTGCGCGGCTCCACCAACGTGCCGGCGCCCAGTCGGCTGGCGCTGTTCGAGCGGCGCGTCTTCTGGACGGATGTGATCCGCCAGGGCGTGGTGCAGGTGGACAAGTTCAACGGCCTGCCCTCGGTGCGCAACGTGCACACGGACAAGGACACGCCGGGAGAGCCGCGCGCCATCCGCGCCGTGCACCCGCTGCTGCAGCCGCAGCGTGAGTATAGAGGATACTGATACACGGATACAGTGATACACTGATACACTGTCCACCCGCTCCTGCAGCCGCAGCGTGAGTATAGAGGATACTGATACACGGATACAGTGATACGCGGATACACTATCCACCCGCTCCTGCAGCCGCAGCGTGAGTATAGAGGATACTGATACACGGATACAGTGATACACGGATACACTGATGCATTGATACACTGTCCACCCGCTCCCGCAGCCGCAGCGTGAGTAAGAGGGGTACTGATACACCGATACAGACTGGTACACTCGCTCCTGCAGCTATGTCGTGAGTTATAGAGGGGATATTGACAGACTGATACACTGATACCCGGATACATTGATACACTGACCACTCGCTCCTGTAGCCGCAGTGTGAGTAGGGGGGTACTGATACACTGTCAAACTGACACAGACTTTCACTTACACACTGCTACCTGAGAGCATACTGATACACTGGCGAATGCGGAACCTGAAAATGTAATGTAAAAGGTAATTAATTACCTGCCCAAAAATGTTTCAGGCCTACTTTACACATTGTTCGTTTTACGTGAATATGATGCCGCCCGTGTCCGAATTATTAATGAAAGAAAAGCAAGCCATCACGAATGGCTGATTGCATTGACAATGAGCATAATGGGCACGTCAGCATTTTCCTGAATTCCCGAACAGCGTGTCTGTGGATCCGCGACAATGGCTGAATCAGCGGAACATGGGCGCGAGTGGGCTCCCAGCGCCGGAGCGGCGCCCGTCTGTCCTCTGCGCCGGAGCGGCCGTCTGCCCTCTGCACCGGAGCGGCCGTCTGTCCTCTGCGCCGGAGCGGCCGTCTGCCCTCTGCGCCGGAGCGGCCGCCCGTTCTCTGCGCCGCAGATGGGCTTAGCCTGGGCTGACTTCATGGCCGATCCCGCTCTGGCCCTCGTCCCCACCCAGTCCGGGGGTCCGCCGCTCACCTGCAAACGTTCTTATTTGTGAGCTCACCGGTAAATGATCTCACATGCGAAATGATCTATGTCGTCTGTGGCTGTTCTTTACCCGCCCACCTGTATATTGGTTGCAGTGCCGTCTCCGTGCGGTGAGAACAGCCTGTGCCAGCACCTGTGTCTGCTCACCCAAAACACGGAAAAGAACGGCCTGGGCTACAGGTGCGGCTGTGAGGTGGGCTTCTACCTGCGTGCCAACAAGATGGAGTGCATGCCCGTCCAAGAGTTCCTGATGTATTCGCAGCAGAAGTTCATCAAGGGACAGGTGCGTCGGGACACATTCGGGTGGTTCATGTGATTGGCGAGGGAGGCTGCTAGCGGCTAGGGTAAAATGGTTTTCCATTTTCCTTTCGTGATAGATGTAAACTAGTACCTACACCTTCCTATAACACCCTGCTTCATAGTTCATCCGAATGGTGCTTTATTGCTGGGTAAGCCCTGGCATTCAAACAGCACAGCGGCCACTGTTGTTCCCAGATTGGCCTGCATAATGTGGTAGCGCTCTCTCTCTCTCTCTCTCTCTCTCTCTCTCTCTCTCTCTCTCTCTCTCTCTCTCTCTCTCTCTCTCTCTCTCTCTCTTTTATCAGGTCCTGTCTCCGTCGACCTGACTAATCCAATCAGTCGATCTACATGCATCTCCATCATATGCGTACAGGGCTCCCTTCGCCTGATTATCCCTCTCCTACTGTACATTTGCTGTCCTACCTCACCCCGGCTGACCATCCCTCCCTGTCTGTGGCAGGTTCTGGACCCGGCTGACCACCCCTCCCCGTCTGCGGCAGGTTCTGGATCCGGTGGCCTCCAACATGAACGACGCCATGATGCCGATTGTGTCCCGCACGGCGCGCTTCGTCGGCCTCGACTTCGACTACCGGGCGCACAAGATCTACTACTCGGACGTGCTACTGGACGTCATCTACCGCATCAACCGCGACGGTACCGGCCGAGAGAACGTGCTGGCCTCGCAGAACGAGGGCGTCGAGGGTCTGGCGCTCGACTGGATCTCGGGAAACCTATACTACATCGACAGCCGCAAGGCCACGCTGAACGTGATCAACACGGGGGCCACGCGGATCCGACGCACGCTGCTGAAGAACCTGGCCCGGCCGCGCGCAATCGCCGTCCACCCCAACAAGGGGTGAGTGGGAGTACCGCGGAGAGGGAGGGCTGTGGTAGGGCCAGGTGGGGGGACTCACCATTTCTGCCGATATTTGATTGGTGCTTCAGGGCTCTGAGGTAATCTGCCACTCGTTGATATTTCTTTTCTTCTACGCAATATTGCACCATGAAGCCGGTTACAATGTTGAATTGGCCATGCCGTTTACTCTGATCAACGGGGAAACCGGCCTCGTTTTTATTGCAATCTGCCTGGCTCTATACCTATCCAGGCGCAACGCTCCGGTAAACGTCTGCAATGTTCGGCTTGAGCTGTCATTTCTGCACGGACTCACCGTGGGCAAAGAAAGTGACCCGATGTTTGTTGAAATGTTTCTATTGTTAGCTGATTACACCCATACGTCTGTGTTCGCTGCACAATTATCAGGATTCTAGTCGGTGTTTTTGTTCTATTGTAGTTGTCACCCACCGCAGAGCAGTGTTCTAGGTCGGTGAAGGGGCTGCAATCTTCATCCCAAGGTCGCTCGTGGCGGATTTCACGGTGAGCAGTTTTTGCGGTGTGACCGCCGGGCCGTTTGTCACGTACTTAGTACTTACCCTCCTCCCCTCTGCCTCCTGTCTCCGTCCCGCAGCTACATTTTCTTCTCGGAGTGGGACCGGCCGGCCAACATCAGCCGCGCCTACGCCGACGGCAGCAACGTCATGGTGTTCAAGAACGTGCTGCTCGGCTGGCCCAACGGCCTGAGCATCGACTACGACAGCGACCGGCTGTACTGGTGCGACGCGCTGCTGGACCACGTGCAGCACGCCAACCTAGACGGCACAGACGTCAAGACCATCACCAGCCGCAACATCAAGCACCCCTTCTCGCTGGTCATCTTCAGAGGTGAGCTGCCGACGGGGCCGGCCGAGGAGCAGGGCCGTCAACTGTTGATGTTTTTGGTTGTAGATATTACCGTGCTTTTTTATTGGGTGTACTTTGCTGCTATTGTATTGTATTGAACAATCATGAGCGATCCACATTCTGAAAGTGCGTGGCGATTACTGCTACGTGGGCAATCGTGATTAGTTTTTATCGGTTACGTGATACATATATTTTATTTCATCAATGTATTCGAGGAGATTCTACTTGTTGTATTTCTGGAAGTTTTATGGCAAAGTTCCTCATTCTACCTAAACTATAAGGAAAGAACGGATTACGTACGTGACTGGTTTTGTATTGAATGGCAGAAGTGGAACTTAACAATCGTTTATTATGCTATTATGTTATGGACATTTGACGTTTCTGAAAAAGTCCCCAGACTTTCCCGCTGGCAGTAATTGTTTCCATGCCCGTGGTTTACTGAATTGAATTGGCACGAGCTGAGATAGATAATTAAAAACCGGTTCCAAATATGTGCAGTGCTCGCTTTGCTCCACAAAGAACGTTTACTGCGGGGAAAACTGGGGATGGGTATGGGCTAAAATTCAACATTTATTTAGACAGGCTAAGAACTACTTATCAAATTTATCCATGCCACCATTGATTATCTGATCTTTCTATTTGATACATTTTGGTTTGATGTAACAGTGCTCGACTTAGCAGCATCATCCTGAAGACACTTCTCCGAATCGACTGACCTTGTAAGCGCCGGTGTTGGTACACTGTTTCCGCTGTTCCGGCCTGCCGTGGGAATGGGCTCTATGGTGAGTGCTCCGTCCAGTGCGGCGGCGCGGCACCGCGACGAGCTGTGCGCCATCTGTCGCCAGCCGCGCGCCAGGAGCGGCGAGCACCGCGGCGTGGCGCTGCCCTGCGGCCACGGCTTCGGGCACAGCTGCCTGGCGCGCCGGCTGCGGGCCGGGCCGGCGCGGTGTCCGCAGTGCGGCGCGCGCGGCTCGCTGTCGCAGCTGCGGCCGGCGCCGGGCCGCGCCCCCTCCGCCGCCGGAGCCGCAGACGCCGACAAGGAGCCCGAAGAGCCGCTGCGGGAGAGGGAGGAGCTGCGCCGCGAGCGGGCGGAGCGGCGCCGACTCGAGAAGGACCTGGTCGACACCCGGCAGCGGCTCCAGAAAAAGGACAACGTGGTGAGGATGCTGCAGGCCGAGCTGCGGAAGCTGCAGCGCAAGGTGCGACTCGAGGAGTCCGACTGCGACTATGACTCGAACGTGTCGTGGACTCCGCGCGCCAACGAGCGCGGCGACCTGACCGAGTGAAGAGACTAGGTGGCTAGCGAGCAGCGGCGACTCTCAGAGCAGTCAGTTGTGCGCGCGGAACGGTCACCGCTGGTGAATGTACATCGGGCTGGTGAATGCTGAGGAGACTGGACTGTTCCGGTGACATAACAAGCTCCAGGTTTGTTGGGAAGGAAACCAGGCAGGATGACAGACAAGATACGGATAAAGAATGCATCATATAGTTGATGCCAGTGGATGAGAACTTCTGTTGGAGTTTCCGTTGAAACAGAGTGGAAAATCAGAAGTCAGGAACGCCTTGAAGGAAACTCATTGGAAATGTGTGGTCGCTTCCAGCAGAAGTTGCTGAAAATGCTAACGAACGTCATGTCCGGCTGTACTCGTTACCGGTGAAAATATGTGCATTTTCAGGTGTCTCTGGACACGGATCCGCGGTGCCGTCCAGCTGAAACGGAATGCCGCCCCTCGGCGGACCTGTCGGAGCGAGTTTACCTGGTTTTCGTTTTGTACATCCGTCCAGCGCTTCGGGGACCGGTTGGCCGATTGTTGGGGCGTTTTTATACCCGATTTCATGAAGCGCTGGTACGGGCTCGCTCCCTATCATGACAGGATCGTGACGCCGTGGGCCAATAAATCCAGCGTCTTACGCCTCGTTTTGTTTTACTGGACAAATAATGTCGGGCCACTGCGCTAACATAATGCAGGCTGTGGTCATAAGAAATCAAACACGAGTTCCTATTTCTTACTTCTCCAGCGTACATAATTGTAGCTGAGAATGCTACCTAGTAAAGACGGAAATAACGACATTGGTGTTGTTTGCTTGTGTTTTGCCTCGCCCAACTACTAATAGGGTAAAATGTGCCTGATTAGCACAATTTCCGGGTTGTGCATCAAGGTGCCTCAGTTTTATCACCATGCATGACCACATTACCATCAGTCGATGGGGAGGGGGTGGGGGATGCGACATGCGACCCAACCATTGCGGTCCATGTGCGGCTTAACAATGGTCTAACTTCTCCCGTTACTGTGGCACCTTAAGCATCTCAATGAATATGAACATTCGATTCGAACATAGGGAGACCTAACGAGATGAGTGACATAACCATTAACCACTGCAGCCCCTGTTCCCGCCCAGTCCGTCGCCACGTTACCGTTTATGACGCCGCCCTCCCTCCGCAGACCACCTGTACGTGACGGACTGGCGTCTGGACGCCATCGTTCGGCTCAACAAGCTGACCGGCGCCGACGAGACTACCGTGGCGCGCGTCCAGGAGTCCAACCGGCTCTTCGGCATCAAGGTCTACGCGCAGGACATCCAGAAGGTGCGTGGCACGGATGGGCGACCGGACGTTGGTAGATGGTATGGTATGGGCAATGGAATGGTAAATACCTATTTTCACTGGTGAGCAGTGAGCTTTGTGGAACAGCCTTTTTTTGGTGGAATAATGGAAGTAGATAGATGTGAAAGGTAAGTACGCTTCGGACTGCTGAAGGAAGATATCCTCTTGAATTCATCGCTGCCATTTTTGCATCTGTTTTGAAACTCCGCCGCATGCATGGTCATTGTGTGTGCTGCTTACCTTTTCCTATCCCCCCCCATTCCCCGATCCTGTATACCACACGTCATATGCCATCGTCCCGTATGTCACGCGGACCGTTTTGCCCTGCCCTCCCTCAGATCAACCCGGATCATCCGTGCAAGGAGAACAACGGCGGCTGTGACAGCTTCTGTTTCCCGATCCCGGACAACACGACGGCCAGCGGCCTGGTGGCCAAGTGCGACTGTCCGTACGGCATGAAGCTGCGCTCAGACCTGCGCCGCTGCGAGGACGCGCCGGACGCCGAGCCGCCCGTCGAGGCGTGCCCCAACGAGTGGGACTTCACGTGCGCCAACCAGCGCTGCATCCCCAACCCGTGGGTGTGCGACGGAGACGACGACTGCCTGGACAACTCTGACGAGGAGCAGAACTGCACGGCGCCCACCTGCTCGGAGGAGCAGTTCGCCTGCGCCAGCGGACGCTGCATGCCGCTCTCCTTCAAATGCGACTCGGACAACGACTGTGGTGACTTCTCCGACGAGACGGGCTGCGTGAACGTCACTTGCGACGAGCACGAGTTCAAGTGCTCCAACGGTCGCTGCATCCCGTCGGCGTGGAAGTGCGACTCGGAGGACGACTGTGAGGACGGCTCGGACGAGGGCGAATTCTGCGCCGAGAAGACGTGTACCTCGTACCAGTTCAGCTGCCCCTCCGGCCACTGCATCCCGCAGTCGTGGGTGTGTGACGGCGACAACGACTGTCTGGACAACAAGGACGAGGAGGGCTGTCCGCCGGTCACCTGCTCGGCCAACCAGTTCAAGTGCGCTAACCTCAAACAGTGCGTGCACGAGTCGTTCAAGTGTGACGGCATCCCCGACTGCCTGGACGGCAGTGAGGAGGCCGGCTGCCCGACCGTGTCGCCCGACAGCTGCAACCCCGAGAAACAGTTCAGGTCAGTGCGGCGGCCGCCGGCTGCGGGCTGCTTCGCCGACAGCCCAGCGGTAGTGCCTTTATTTGAATGTAGAGATGCTTAATGGTACTACTGAAGTGTAATATTTATGACCGACTGCCATAAAAAGTGTCACAATAGCTGTGATGCCTGAATTTACGGCGTGCCGACGGAATTTTTGTTCGTGAGTAGAGCTGTTATGCATTTGCTGAGTTCCCCAATCGTTCTGGTTTGTTGACTCTATACACGTTGTTTTGGCCCGGAGCTGCTCGTTCCAAAGCGCGATGTAGCTCCACGGGAGCCGCCCTGACGGCGCTGTGGCCGGCCCTGACTGCTCCGTCTGGCCGGCTGTGACAGACCCTGACTGCTCCGTCTGGTGCGCAGGTGTGAGAAGTCGGGTATCTGCATTCCCAAGACGTGGTACTGCGACGGTAACGCCGACTGCCTGGACAAGTCGGACGAGCCCGACTCCTGCGGCCAGGTCGAGTGCAGGCCCAGCTTCTTCAAATGTGAGTAGCTGGCCTGCTGAGCGGTCATGGTCGGGTCGGCAGTTGGCGGACACCACATGGGTGTAACGGAGCCTAGGAAGTGACACTGACACCAGTGGTCTGCGCAGTGCACAGTGCACACTCACTCAAGCGACTTTCTACACTCGCTTCGTTACGAAGCGTAATGCATAGCCTCGTATGGTTATTGAGAGCTTTACTCAAGCTAAATGCGCTTTTGTTTCACTTCTACATACCATAAGCGATGAGGAAGTCGCTGCTCTTGAAGGGGACAGATTATGAACGTCATGGTGCAACACGCCGACACGCCAGTGATAGGCGTATATAGCAGTGAAGGTCGCTGAGCTGCCCGCTCAGTCAGGACAGCTTTGTATAGTGGTCTGGTCTGTAACGGGCTGGTCTGTAACGGTCTGGTCTGTAACGGTCTGGTCTGTAACGGTCTGGTCTGTAACGGTCTGGTCTGTAAAGGTCTGGTCTGACGGTTCTGTAACTTTCTGTTATAACGGTGTCATACCACGACAGGTAACAACACCAACTGCGTGTACGGCGGCCTGGTGTGTAACGGTCTGGTCTGTGACGATCTGTTATAACGGTGTCGTACCTCGACAGGTAACAACACCAGCTGCGTGTACGGCGGCCTGGTGTGTAACGGTCTGGTCTGTTATAACGGTGTCGTACCCCGACAGGTAACAACACCAACTGCGTGTACGGCGGCCTGGTGTGTAACGGCGAGGACGACTGCGGGGACGGCAGTGATGAGGACGCCATGCACGCCTGCAAGAAGCCGCCGGCCACGTACGTATACCGACAGTCTGGGACAGCGGCACGGGGACAGCGGCGGCAGGCTGCGCGCCGACAGTCTGTAGTAGCACAGTCTTGGGTGGCTGGTCTGAGAGACCGGCATTCTGACGATATAAGTCAGTGGCATTTATCACCTGTCCGCTCTGGCTGTTGCAGACAGCAGGGGCGTCGACGCTGGTGCGGGGCGGACTGGTCGCAACCCAAATGTTTGTCTTTGATTAGGCCTGTGCAAGGGTTGTTACAAGTCTCAGTTTCTTTACACGCTTCTTACATCTGGCTGGTCGTACTCATTTCTTTAAAGACCTTTTTGACTCTGTCGACAACTGACCTGCTAACAAGAGGGTAGTCCTGGACGATTCATAATCAGCCGGATTTAAGCATCCCCTTACCATCCGTGGCGGTTGCTCACTGCGTTAGTTGCTGCTGACTGCAGCTGTCTCTGACGCCTCTGACCCTCCTGTCTGACGCCTCTGACCCTCCTGTCTGACGCCTCTGACCCTCCTGTCTGACGCCTCTGACCCTCCTGCTACAGGTGTTCGTCGGACGAGTGGCGCTGCCCGGGCGTCTCGGACCGCTGCATCCCCCGAAAGGTAGTCTGCGACAACAAGCCGGACTGCCCGAACGGCGCCGACGAGGGCCCCGGCTGCGGCCTGGCCGAGTGCCAGTCGGACAAAGGCGCCGCCTGCAACCAGGGCTGCATGGAGACGCCGGCCGGCGCCGAGTGCCTGTGCGCCGCCGGCGAGCGGCTCAACGGCACCGCCGAGTGCGTCGACATCGACGAGTGCGCCGTGCCCGGCAAGTGCTCGCAGCTGTGCCACAACACCAAGGGCTCGTACTTCTGCACGTGCGCACCCGGCTACAACGTGACCGTCGACAAGCACGGCTGCAAACCGGCCAGTGAGTTACCGAGCAGACCCGAAACAGTGAACAATGTTTGCCCTGAGATTTTATGGTCATTTTTGTTCTGATTGTTGATGGGATGCTCTCAGATGTTTTTTTATCAGATTTGTCTGTTATCTGCCATTGTTTGGGATGATCGTTTGGTTGTTTCTTCACCATCAGAAGATGCACTGCTTAAAGCATTGGCTTCTTTTATTCTATGCGATATCCATTTTGCCTCTCTGCAAATACCTGTTCTAACTGTCGCCTAGTCCTCTAAGGACCTACCTACGATCGCCATTCCTCACCATCCGACCTGTCTTTCCGTTCACAGAGAAGGAGGAGGCGGTGCTGATCATCTCCAACCGGCGCTCCATCCTGATGTCCAACATCAACGAGACGTCGGTGGAGCGGCTGCCGATTTCTGTCGAGAACGTGGTGGCCACAATCTCGGACACTGTCACCGACACGCTCTACTGGTCCGACATGAAGGTCAAGAAGATCATGCGCCTCAAGAAGGGCGGCCAGCCGCAGGAGGTACGTACGGCTGCGTGAGCTCAGAGCTCAGAGGTCAGGGGGGACAGGCATTTAGCGCTAACGCTCTGTGGTATATGATATGGAGATTCGGTAATGCAATCAGCAATGTACTATTTTGGTTGCGGACTTATTCATAGGGCTCTTTTTGTCAGATTTGGATAATGGAATGAGACTGCTTTTGTCAATCGAATTGGAGGGGACGTGACATGCTTGAGTAGAGCGCAGGTGTACGTTATCCCATGCAGCTGCTCTGCTGCGGCGCACTCGGTGTCTGAGTCCCGTCTCCCCCTCCCCATCCCCTCCGTCCAGGTGATCAGCAGCGGCCTGGATCTGGTCGAGGGCCTGGCCTTTGACTGGATCACGGGCAACCTCTACTGGGTGGACTCGAGGCTGGGCGTTATCGAGGTGGCCGACCGCGACGCCACCAGCCGGATCGCGCTCATCAACACAGACGTGGACCAGCTGCGGGGTCTGGCGCTGGACCCCTCCGAGAGGTGAGTGGTCAGTCCCCTATCCCCGTCAGTACCCCCTGGGGGGACCAGCTGCGCGGCCTGGCGCTGGATCCGTCCGAGAGGTGAGTGGTCAGTCCCCCACCCCGTCAGTACCCCCTGGGGGGACCAGCCGAGCGGCCTGGCGCTGGACCCCGTCCGAGAGGTGAGTGGTCAGTCCCCCACCCCCGTCAGTACCTACCCCCTGGGGGACCAGCCGAGCGGCCTGGCGCTGGACCCCTCCGAGAGGTGAGTGGTCTGTTCTCCACCCCAGTCAGTACCCCCTGGGGGACCAGTTGCGCGGCCTGGCGCTGGACCCCTCCGAGAGGTTGGTTCGTCCCCCACCCCCGTCAGCACCCCATGGGGGGACCAGCCGCAGGGGCCTGGCGCTGGATCCGTCCGAGAGGTGAGCCTTCTGTCCCTGAGTATGGAACCGACCCACTCTCGTTGTGGGGTGACCTAACCGTCAGGAGCACATACGGTTGTTTCTTTACTGTCATAGTGCTAATTTTTAGTGACAGAAATCGATGGTGAATGACGGTAACTTTGGAATGCTTGTAACTATGCTATTGTTAGCTATCTGTTTCCTTCGACTTTTTTTTGTACCGAGCCCGCTTCCTGACGTTTGTCGCTGCCCGTTTCCTAGCGTTCCCTCTGTGTTTGTGCAGCTCGCGGTTCCTGTTCTGGTCGAACTGGGACGCCCGGCTCCTAACGCTCTCTATCTGTCGGTAGCTCTCGGTTCCTGTTCTGGTCCGACTGGGGCGCCCGGTCCCTGACGTTCTCTGTGTTTGTGCAGCTCGCGGTTCCTGTTTTGGTCCGACTGGGGCGCCCGGCCGCGTATCGAGCGCTCCGGCCTGGATGGCTCCAACCGCACCACCATCATCACGTCCAAGATCTACTGGCCCAACGGCCTCACACTGGATATCCCCAATCGGCGCGTCTACTTCGCCGACAGCAAGCTCGACTACATCGACTTCTGCAACTACGACGGATCGGGCAGACAGCAGGTCAGTGGGCGCTGAGTGCTGACCGACGGCGGCTCGTCACCGTTCACCAGTGGCCCGGCCCGGTGTCAGTGTCTGTGTCAGTGTCCCTTGTATCTGTCAGCTCAACAGTGTCAGTATCATTGACCCGGCGCGCCCAGTGTCAGTGTCAGTATTAAAGGTCCGTATGTCTGTCAGCTCACAGTGACCGAGTCCTGTGTCAGTCTCAGTGACGGTGTAACCTCCGCTTCTCTCCGTCAGGTTCTGGCCAGCAGCCACTACCTGCTGCACCCGCACAGTATCGCCGTCTGTTCACCAGTGGCTGAACCCTGTGTCAGTGTCAGGGTCCCTGTGTCAGTGTCAGTGTCGTTAACGTGTGCCCGCCCTCCTGCCACAGGTTCTGGCCAGCAGCCACTACCTGCTGCACCCGCACAGTATCGCCGTGTTCCTGGACACGGTCTACTGGACAGACCGCCAGCTGAACCGGGTGCTCTCGGCGCACAAATTCAGCGGCGCCAACCAGTCGGTGGTCACACACCTGGTCTCGCAGCCGCTCAGTATCCACATCGCGCACTCGGTGCTGCAGCCCAACGGCAGCAACCCGTGCGCGGCCGCGCGCTGCGACCACCTGTGTCTGCTGGCCCCCGGGCAGCCCGGCTTCGCCTGCAAGTGTCGGCCCGGCTACAAGCTGGCAGAGGACAATCGCACCTGTACTGTTGGTGGGTGGCCGGCGGGACTGGGGGGAGGGGGGGGGGGGTCTGTACCGTCGGTGGGTCGCCCGTGGGGCCGGGGGAGAGGACAACCGCACGTGTACCGTTGGTGGGTGTCCGGCGGGGCTGTGGGGAGGGGCTGTTGAGTTGGAGTTGGAGTGGGATTGGGAGTGGAGTTGGAATTGGTTTGTTAACAAATGTTACCATGTCTCAACAAATTACAGGGATGCCCATGACTGCTGCAGTCGGGACGCCCTAGATCTATACCTCAGCAACATCAATGAAGTCAAGCGGTCGCTTCCAGCAGCATAGCTTGTTGTTTGAATTTCCGACTGATCGTCCTTCTTGTCGCGGCTGCTCCTGGACTCCTGCCGCTGCTGACCGGTAACTGACCGGTAACTGGCGTGTTACTGACCAGTAACTGACCCTTCCCCTGCCGCCACAGAGGAGCGCGCCTTCCTGCTGCTGATGGCCGGTTACTGACCGGCAACTGACCCCTCCCCCGCCCCCACAGAGGAGCGCGCCTTCCTGCTGCTGCTGGCCGGTAACCGGGTGACGGACGTGTCGCTGACGCCCGACCAGGCGCGCGCCGGCCTCCTCACGCCGATTGTGGGCGTCGAGCGCTCCACCAGCCTCGACTACGACCACCAGTCGCAGACCGTCTTCTGGGTCGGCATGACAGAGACCGGCATCGGAGAGGACGACGAAAACGTGAGTGACAGGAGGGAGGGGCAGGAAGGTCCGTGGATGGACTGGGGTGGTGAAATGGGGTGGTCCACAGCTATACTTCTCCGCTGGTCTGATGCGCTGCATCAATACAATGTATGTGTAGCTTCAGAGTTACGCCTTATATTTTTTTTTTTAGCTGCACCTTGCCTTGTAAGTTTTTTTTTATAAATTATCAGTGTAGTGCTGGTATTCGCATGTCCATCAAGTTAGCGTCGTATTCGTATTCGTTTTCAGCGTCGAGTTCCAAACATCGCCAAACTATGCCAAACGATAGATCTTGACACGCTGATTCCAAAATCATCACTCATTTTTTCCTAGGTCAAATATTTTGACCGCTAGGGGCAAAAAACCACTCTGGCTATAAACAACCATAAGGTACTTCTTTAATTACCTTCCGATCGGGCTGAAACTTACACAAAACATGTGCCGCCACACAAGGATGCGTCACAATCAACAAAATCGCCGATCGAGGTCAAAGGTCAAGGTCATATTTGCGAAAAACCGTTATTTTTCGACGGGGTACCAAATAAAAACTTTATTTACCGTCCGATCGGGCTGAAACTTACACAAAACATGTGCCGCCACACAAGGATGCGTCACAATCAACAAAATCGCCGATCGAGGTCAAAGGTCAAGGTCATATTTGCGAAAAACCGTTATTTTTCGACGGGGTACCAAATAAAAACTTTATTTACCGTCCGATCGGGCTGAAACTTACACAAAACATGTGCCGCCACACAAGGATGCGTCACAATCAACAAAATCGCCGATCGAGGTCAAAGGTCAAGGTCATATTTGCGAAAAACCGTTATTTTTCGACGGGGTACCAAATAAAAACTTTATTTTCCGTCCGATCGGGCTGAAACTTACACAAAACATGTGCCGCCACACAAGGATGCGTCACAATCAACAAAATCGCCGATCGAGGTCAAAGGTCAAGGTCATATTTGCGAAAAACCGTTATTTTTCGACGGGGTACCAAATAAAAACTTTATTTACCGTCCGATCGGGCTGAAACTTACACAAAACATGTGCCGCCACACAAGGATGCGTCACAATCAACAAAATCGCCGATCGAGGTCAAAGGTCAAGGTCATATTTGCGAAAAACCGTTATTTTTCGACGGGGTACCAAATAAAAACTTTATTTACCGTCCGATCGGGCTGAAACTTACACAAAACATGTGCCGCCACACAAGGATGCGTCACAATCAACAAAATCGCCGATCGAGGTCAAAGGTCAAGGTCATATTTGCGAAAAACCGTTATTTTTCGACGGGGTACCAAATAAAAACTTTATTTACCGTCCGATCGGGCTGAAACTTACACAAAACATGTGCCGCCACACAAGGATGCGTCACAATCAACAAAATCGCCGATCGAGGTCAAAGGTCAAGGTCATATTTGCGAAAAACCGTTATTTTTCGACGGGGTACCAAATAAAAACTTTATTTACCGTCCGATCGGGCTGAAACTTACACAAAACATGTGCCGCCACACAAGGATGCGTCACAATCAACCAAATCGCCGATCGAGGTCAAAGGTCAAGGTCATATTTGCGAAAAACCGTTATTTTTCGACGGGGTACCAAATAAAAACTTTATTTACCGTCCGATCGGGCTGAAACTTACACAAAACATGTGCCGCCACACAAGGATGCGTCACAATCAACAAAATCGCCGATCGAGGTCAAAGGTCAAGGTCATATTTGCGAAAAACCGTTATTTTTCGACGGGGTACCAAATAAAAACTTTATTTACCGTCCGATCGGGCTGAAACTTACACAAAACATGTGCCGCCACACAAGGATGCGTCACAATCAACAAAATCGCCGATCGAGGTCAAAGGTCAAGGTCATATTTGCGAAAAACCGTTATTTTTCGACGGGGTACCAAATAAAAACTTTATTTACCGTCCGATCGGGCTGAAACTTACACAAAACATGTGCCGCCACACAAGGATGCGTCACAATCAACAAAATCGCCGATCGAGGTCAAAGGTCAAGGTCATATTTGCGAAAAACCGTTATTTTTCGACGGGGTACCAAATAAAACTTTATTTACCGTCCGATCGGGCTGAAACTTACACAAAACATGTGCCGCCACACAAGGATGCGTCACAATCAACCAAATCGCCGATCGAGGTCAAAGGTCAAGGTCATATTTGCGAAAAACCGTTATTTTTCGACGGGGTACCAAATAAAAACTTTATTTACCGTCCGATCGGGCTGAAACTTACACAAAACATGTGCCGCCACACAAGGATGCGTCACAATCAACAAAATCGCCGATCGAGGTCAAAGGTCAAGGTCATATTTGCGAAAAACCGTTATTTTTCGACGGGGTACCAAATAAAAACTTTATTTACCGTCCGATCGGGCTGAAACTTACACAAAACATGTGCCGCCACACAAGGATGCGTCACAATCAACAAAATCGCCGATCGAGGTCAAAGGTCAAGGTCATATTTGCGAAAAACCGTTATTTTTCGACGGGGTACCAAATAAAAACTTTATTTACCGTCCGATCGGGCTGAAACTTACACAAAACATGTGCCGCCACACAAGGATGCGTCACAATCAACAAAATCGCCGATCGAGGTCAAAGGTCAAGGTCATATTTGCGAAAAACCGTTATTTTTCGACGGGGTACCAAATAAAAACTTTATTTACCGTCCGATCGGGCTGAAACTTACACAAAACATGTGCCGCCACACAAGGATGCGTCACAATCAACAAAATCGCCGATCGAGGTCAAAGGTCAAGGTCATATTTGCGAAAAACCGTTAAAGTAACCGAAAAATAACGGTTTTTCGCAAATATGACCTTGACCTTTGACCTCGATCGGCGATTTGGTTGATTGTGACGCATCCTTGTGTGGCGGCACATGTTTTGTGTAAGTTTCAGCCCGATCGGACGGTAAATAAAGTTTTTATTTGGTACCCCGTCGAAAAATAACGGTTTTTCGCAAATATGACCTTGACCTTTGACCTCGATCGGCGATTTTGTTGATTGTGACGCATCCTTGTGTGGCGGCACATGTTTTGTGTAAGTTTCAGCCCGATCGGACGGTAAATAAAGTTTTTATTTGGTACCCCGTCGAAAAATAACGGTTTTTCGCAAATATGACCTTGACCTTTGACCTCGATCGGCGATTTTGTTGATTGTGACGCATCCTTGTGTGGCGGCACATGTTTTGTGTAAGTTTCAGCCCGATCGGACGGTAAATAAAGTTTTTATATGGTACCCCGTCGAAAAATAACGGTTTTTCGCAAATATGACCTTGACCTTTGACCTCGATCGGCGATTTTGTTGATTGTGACGCATCCTTGTGTGGCGGCACATGTTTTGTGTAAGTTTCAGCCCGATCGGACGGTAAATAAAGTTTTTATTTGGTACCCGGTCGAAAAATAGCGGTTTTTCGCAAATATGACCTTGACCTTTGACCTCGATCGGCGATTTGGTTGATTGTGACGCATCCTTGTGTGGCGGCACATGTTTTGTGTAAGTTTCAGCCCGATCGGACGGTAAATAAAGTTTTTATTTGGTACCCCGTCGAAAAATAACGGTTTTTCGCAAATATGACCTTGACCTTTGACCTCGATCGGCGATTTTGTTGATTGTGACGCATCCTTGTGTGGCGGCACATGTTTTGTGTAAGTTTCAGCCCGATCGGACGGTAAATAAAGTTTTTATTTGGTACCCCGTCGAAAAATAACGGTTTTTCGCAAATATGACCTTGACCTTTGACCTCGATCGGCGATTTTGTTGATTGTGACGCATCCTTGTGTGGCGGCACATGTTTTGTGTAAGTTTCAGCCCGATCGGACGGTAAATAAAGTTTTTATTTGGTACCCCGTCGAAAAATAACGGTTTTTCGCAAATATGACCTTGACCTTTGACCTCGATCGGCGATTTTGTTGATTGTGACGCATCCTTGTGTGGCGGCACATGTTTTGTGTAAGTTTCAGCCCGATCGGACGGTAAATAAAGTTTTTATTTGGTACCCCGTCGAAAAATAACGGTTTTTCGCAAATATGACCTTGACCTTTGACCTCGATCGGCGATTTTGTTGATTGTGACGCATCCTTGTGTGGCGGCACATGTTTTGTGTAAGTTTCAGCCCGATCGGACGGTAAATAAAGTTTTTATTTGGTACCCCGTCGAAAAATAACGGTTTTTCGCAAATATGACCTTGGCCTTTGACCTTGATCGGCGACTTTGTTGATTGTGACGCATCCTTGTGTGGCGGGACATGTTTTGTGTAAGTTTCAGCCCGATCGGACGGTAAATAAAGTTTTTATTTGGTACTCCGTCGAAAAATAACGGTTTTTCGCAAATATGACCTTGACCTTTGACCTCGATCGGCGATTTTGTTGATTGTGACGCATCCTTGTGTGGCGGCACATGTTTTGTGTAAGTTTCAGCCCGATCGGACGGTAAATAAAGTTTTTATTTGGTACCCCGTCGAAAAATAACGGTTTTTCGCAAATATGACCTTGACCTTTGACCTCGATCGGCGATTTTGTTGATTGTGACGCATCCTTGTGTGGCGGCACATGTTTTGTGTAAGTTTCAGCCCGATCGGACGGTAAATAAAGTTTTTATTTGGTACCCCGTCGAAAAATAACGGTTTTTCGCAAATATGACCTTGACCTTTGACCTCGATCGGCGATTTTGTTGATTGTGACGCATCCTTGTGTGGCGGCACATGTTTTGTGTAAGTTTCAGCCCGATCGGACGGTAAATAAAGTTTTTATTTGGTACCCCGTCGAAAAATAACGGTTTTTCGCAAATATGACCTTGACCTTTGACCTCGATCGGCGATTTGGTTGATTGTGACGCATCCTTGTGTGGCGGCACATGTTTTGTGTAAGTTTCAGCCCGATCGGACGGTAAATAAAGTTTTTATTTGGTACCCCGTCGAAAAATAACGGTTTTTCGCAAATATGACCTTGACCTTTGACCTTGATCGGCGATTTTGTTGATTGTTACGCATCCTTGTGTGGCGGCACATGTTTTGTGTAAGTTTCAGCCCGATCGGACGGTAAATAAAGTTTTTATTTGGTACCCCGTCGAAAAATAACGGTTTTTCGCAAATATGACCTTGACCTTTGACCTCGATCGGCGATTTTGTTGATTGTGACGCATCCTTGTGTGGCGGCACATGTTTTGTGTAAGTTTCAGCCCGATCGGACGGTAAATAAAGTTTTTATTTGGTACCCCGTCGAAAAATAACGGTTTTTCGCAAATATGACCTTGACCTTTGACCTCGATCGGCGATTTTGTTGATTGTGACGCATCCTTGTGTGGCGGCACATGTTTTGTGTAAGTTTCAGCCCGATCGGACGGTAAATAAAGTTTTTATTTGGTACCCCGTCGAAAAATAACGGTTTTTTCGCAAATATGACCTTGACCTTTGACCTCGATCGGCGATTTTGTTGATTGTGACGCATCCTTGTGTGGCGGCACATGTTTTGTGTAAGTTTCAGCCCGATCGGACGGTAAATAAAGTTTTTATTTGGTACCCCGTCGAAAAATAACGGTTTTTCGCAAATATGACCTTGACCTTTGACCTCGATCGGCGATTTTGTTGATTGTGACGCATCCTTGTGTGGCGGCACATGTTTTGTGTAAGTTTCAGCCCGATCGGACGGTAAATAAAGTTTTTATTTGGTACCCCGTCGAAAAATAACGGTTTTTCGCAAATATGACCTTGACCTTTGACCTCGATCGGCGATTTTGTTGATTGTGACGCATCCTTGTGTGGCGGCACATGTTTTGTGTAAGTTTCAGCCCGATCGGACGGTAAATAAAGTTTTTATTTGGTACCCCGTCGAAAAATAACGGTTTTTCGCAAATATGACCTTGACCTTTGACCTTGATTGGCGATTTTGTTGATTGTGACGCATCCTTGTGTGGCGGCACATGTTTTGTGTAAGTTTCAGCCCGATCGGACGGTAAATAAAGTTTTTATTTGGTACCCCGTCGAAAAATAACGGTTTTTCGCAAATATGACCTTGACCTTTGACCTCGATCGGCGATTTTGTTGATTGTGACGCATCCTTGTGTGGCGGCACATGTTTTGTGTAAGTTTCAGCCCGATCGGACGGTAAATAAAGTTTTTATTTGGTACCCCGTCGAAAAATAACGGTTTTTCGCAAATATGACCTTGACCTTTGACCTCGATCGGCGATTTTGTTGATTGTGACGCATCCTTGTGTGGCGGCACATGTTTTGTGTAAGTTTCAGCCCGATCGGACGGTAAATAAAGTTTTTATTTGGTACCCCGTCGAAAAATAACGGTTTTTCGCAAATATGACCTTGACCTTTGACATCGATCGGCGATTTTGTTGATTGTGACGCATCCTTGTGTGGCACTGGCGGCACATGTTTTGTGTAAGTTTCAGCCCGATCGGACGGTAAATAAAGTTTTATTTGGTACCCCGTCGAAAAATAACGGTTTTTCGCAAATATGACCTTGACCTTTGACCTCGATCGGCGATTTTGTTGATTGTGACGCATCCTTGTGTGGCGGCACATGTTTTGTGTAAGTTTCAGCCCGATCGGACGGTAAATAAAGTTTTTATTTGGTACCCCGTCGAAAAATAACGGTTTTTCGCAAATATGACCTTGACCTTTGACCTCGATCGGCGATTTTGTTGATTGTGACGCATCCTTGTGTGGCGGCACATGTTTTGTGTAAGTTTCAGCCCGATCGGACGGTAAATAAAGTTTTTATTTGGTACCCCGTCGAAAAATAACGGTTTTTCGCAAATATGACCTTGACCTTTGACCTCGATCGGCGATTTTGTTGATTGTGACGCATCCTTGTGTGGCGGCACATGTTTTGTGTAAGTTTCAGCCCGATCGGACGGTAAATAAAGTTTTTATTTGGTACCCCGTCGAAAAATAACGGTTTTTCGCAAATATGACCTTGACCTTTGACCTTGATCGGCGATTTTGTTGATTGTGACGCATCCTTGTGTGGCGGCACATGTTTTGTGTAAGTTTCAGCCCGATCGGACGGTAAATAAAGTTTTTATTTGGTACCCCGTCGAAAAATAACGGTTTTTCGCAAATATGACCTTGACCTTTGACCTCGATCGGCGATTTTGTTGATTGTGACGCATCCTTGTGTGGCGGCACATGTTTTGTGTAAGTTTCAGCCCGATCGGACGGTAAATAAAGTTTTTATTTGGTACCCCGTCGAAAAATAACGGTTTTTCGCAAATATGACCTTGACCTTTGACCTCGATCGGCGATTTGGTTGATTGTGACGCATCCTTGTGTGGCGGCACATGTTTTGTGTAAGTTTCAGCCCGATCGGACGGTAAATAAAGTTTTTATTTGGTACCCCGTCGAAAAATAACGGTTTTTCGCAAATATGACCTTGACCTTTGACCTTGATCGGCGATTTTGTTGATTGTTACGCATCCTTGTGTGGCGGCACATGTTTTGTGTAAGTTTCAGCCCGATCGGACGGTAAATAAAGTTTTTATTTGGTACCCCGTCGAAAAATAACGGTTTTTCGCAAATATGACCTTGACCTTTGACCTCGATCGGCGATTTTGTTGATTGTGACGCATCCTTGTGTGGCGGCACATGTTTTGTGTAAGTTTCAGCCCGATCGGACGGTAAATAAAGTTTTTATTTGGTACCCCGTCGAAAAATAACGGTTTTTCGCAAATATGACCTTGACCTTTGACCTCGATCGGCGATTTTGTTGATTGTGACGCATCCTTGTGTGGCGGCACATGTTTTGTGTAAGTTTCAGCCCGATCGGACGGTAAATAAAGTTTTTATTTGGTACCCCGTCGAAAAATAACGGTTTTTCGCAAATATGACCTTGACCTTTGACCTCGATCGGCGATTTTGTTGATTGTGACGCATCCTTGTGTGGCGGCACATGTTTTGTGTAAGTTTCAGCCCGATCGGACGGTAAATAAAGTTTTTATTTGGTACCCCGTCGAAAAATAACGGTTTTTCGCAAATATGACCTTGACCTTTGACCTTGATCGGCGATTTTGTTGATTGTGACGCATCCTTGTGTGGCGGGACATGTTTTGTGTAAGTTTCAGCCCGATCGGACGGTAAATAAAGTTTTTATTTGGTACCCCGTCGAAAAATAACGGTTTTTCGCAAATATGACCTTGACCTTTGACCTCGATCGGCGATTTTGTTGATTGTGACGCATCCTTGTGTGGCGGCACATGTTTTGTGTAAGTTTCAGCCCGATCGGACGGTAAATAAAGTTTTTATTTGGTACCCCGTCGAAAAATAACGGTTTTTCGCAAATATGACCTTGACCTTTGACCTCGATCGGCGATTTTGTTGATTGTGACGCATCCTTGTGTGGCGGCACATGTTTTGTGTAAGTTTCAGCCCGATCGGACGGTAAATAAAGTTTTTATTTGGTACCCCGTCGAAAAATAACGGTTTTTCGCAAATATGACCTTGACCTTTGACCTCGATCGGCGATTTTGTTGATTGTGACGCATCCTTGTGTGGCGGCACATGTTTTGTGTAAGTTTCAGCCCGATCGGACGGTAAATAAAGAAGTACCTTATTGTTGTTTATAGCCAGAGTGGTTTTTTGCCCCTAGAGGTCAAAATATTTGACCTAGGAAAAAATGAGTGATATTTTTGGAATCAGCGTGTCAAGATCTAGGTATCGTTTGGCATAGTTTGGAGATGTTTTGAACTCGACGCTGAAAACGAATACGAATACGACGCTAACTTGATGGACATGGTATTCGCCCCCCCCCCCCCTTCCCCGCTAAGACTGTTTTCCATGTTTATTCGTTTGTGCTTTCCAGGGCACCATCTACAGCCGCGCCGTGTCGGGGGGCAACGTCACCGAGTTCCTGGTGAACGGCGTCATCGGCACACCCTACTGCATCGCCTACGACTGGGTGGGCGACAACATGTACATCGGCAACCAGCGCGCCTCAAACATCGAGGTGGTCAGCGCACAGGGCAAGAACCGCTACCGCAAGATCGTCATCGGCAACAACGGCACAGAGGAGGGCGTCGGCAAACCGGTGGCCATCGTGCTCGACCCGTCTGAGGGGTAAGTAAAGCGCTGCCAGTAACATGCTTGGACATATGTAAATGCGCTCTTTTTAGTACATGTCTCGTTTTGTTTTCGTTATGTCTTGCCTACGTGAGTTTTGTTAGCCCCCAACACCGTTGAATGGTTTTCTATTGCTCTATGCGACTTGAAATCATTTTTTGAACTCTGCCTCCCAGTTAGCTTTACGGATGATGAACTTTACTCGTCAGCTGTACAACAATTTACCGTGCCTGTTGCTTGCCAGTAAGCTGTTGCTAACCGTGCCTTCTGCACCCCAGTAAGCTGTTGCTAACCGTGCCTTCTGCACCCCAGTAAGCTGTTGCTAACCGTGCCTTCTGCACCCCAGTAATCTGTTGCTAACCGTGCCCTTCTGCTCCTCAGTAAGCTGTACTGGGCGGACGCCGGCGGCGTGGGCGTGCCGCCCAAGATCGGCAAGGCCGGCATGGACGGCTCCAAGCTGCAGGTGCTGGTAAAGGACATCCAGCACCCGCTGTCGCTGGCCATCGACATCCAGACCAAGGTCATCTACTGGAGCACCGAGAACCCGCCCTCGGTGAGTCAGGGAGCCACTGTGGGCCACAGGGACCCGCCCTCGGTGAGTCAGGGGGCTATTGTGGGCCACCGGGAACCCGCCCTCGGTGAGTCAGGGAGCCACTGTGGGCCGCAGGGATCCCGCCCTATGTGAGTTAGGTGAGCCACTGTGGGCCGCAGGGATCCCGCCCTATGTGAGTTAGGTGAGCCAGTCTCACAGGGGGCCCCCGACTGGGGTCAGAGGGGACCTGCCACCGCGGGCCATAGGGGAACCCGCCTCACCGGGCTCACTGAGTCGCCCAGAGTGCGAGTTGTGCGATGTCTCCAAAACTCAGTCGCGTTATTAAACGCATGAATATAAGACGTGTGTCGAATTCGACCGGCGTCTTCTGTACCGCTTTATGTTCCGCCGAGAATTGGCTCTGAGCAGGCCGCAGCGCTGTGTTCTGAATATAATTATCTCTGACTGTGACCGCTGCTGCTGTGCTCCACAGATAATGAGCGCCGGTGTGGACGGCACCAACGTGAAGACGCTGATGAGCTCGGGTATCAGTCAGCCGCGCAGTATCGCTATCCACGAGCAGCGTAAGTGAGCGATCGACACGCGTACTGATTGAGGTCCCCGGGTGGTATGTACACCGCGCTAGGTGACTCCCGACATACGCACTGGTCGAGTACCCCGGGTGGTACACGGCGCTGCGTGTACTCCTCCGCTACCGCCGGTACTCTGTATATACACTGCAGAGTCCTGGGTACGCTGCAGGACACGCTAGTTACGTATCCGAGGACATGCGGAAGGCCCCGCGTGCAATGAGTAAGCCTTGACGGCTGGTCGGGGCGACCACATTTCCTGGTCCAAACGTCACCCAGAAATATCCACAAGGAAATAAGTTATTCAAGCGACTATAATTTAACGATTACCAGTCATATTCACCGTTACAAATTCCGTTAGACAGCCAACCACCGTTTCGCGGTAGGTGTATAGTCCGTTCCCTTGGTATAGGGACCTTCCTGGCTTATTCCGCAATAAGCTTTCTTACTCACTGTTGTGTCCTGGCTATTGGCAATTAGTAGTCGTGTCCCATATGAGGGCAACGGAAAATATGTGCCGTAACGGCAACGGTGTGTGTGAGCGAGCTTCCGTTCTTCTGTGAATACACGCGAACAAGCGCGGTTGTGTCTTCGATTCTCAACGAGCACAACACTCACGGCTACTGATCTAATGAAATGCTGAACCGACAGCGTCCCGGCGCCAGTTATACAGCCAACCGTCCCGGTTGGCTGTATAACTGTTTGCCGAACGGTGAACAGTGAGCTGAGCTGACGGCCTGCTGACTGTTCTCAGGTCTGTTCTACCTGGACTCTGCGTACGAACAGGTGGCCCGCCTGGACCTGCCCGAGGGCGACAACAAGGTGCTGCTCATGAACAACACGGAGGCGCTCAACAGCCTCAAGGTGTTCTCAAAGAGACCGGGTAAGTGAGGGTGGGCGGGACGGAGGGAGGGAGAGGAAACCGTGGTGCTATGGAGCGTGGTGGGTGACACTGCGTGGAACGTCTGCGTGCTGGCTGGCGGATATTGCTCTGGTAAAATGCGAGCTATGTAAAGCGCTAAGTTTGTCTGCCCGACCGGCGAACCTCGCCGTACCTCGCTCTCTTACTGAGCGCTGTGACGCCAACTATCTCCGAAACTGTTGCAGCGCCTTTAACCTTCCAACCACCCTCTCTGTATGCAGTGACGGCCAACCACCCGTGTCGCACGCGGAACGGCAACTGCGCGCACCTGTGTATCCCCGCGGCCGAGGGTGGCCGAGTGTGCGCCTGTGCCATCGGCTACCGGGACGACGGGCCCACGCGCTGCACCGGCTACGACTCGTTCGCCATTGTCAGTCAGCTGGACGTGGTGCGCGGCTTCAGTCTCAGCGACCACAGCGAGGCCATGGCGCCCATTGCGGGCCCAGGTGAGATATTACGGATACAGATACAGATACAGATAAGATACAGGTACAGATACAGACAGGTGAGGTACAGTCTCAGCGACCACGGCGAGGCCATGACGCCCATCGCTGGCCCAGGTGAGATATTACGGATACAGATACAGATATAGATATAGATACAGATACAGATACAGATACAGATACAGACACAAACCGGTGAGGTACAGTCTCAGCGACCACGGCGAAGCTATGACGCCCATCGCCGGACCCGGTGAGGTGCAGATATATTTGCAGCGACGATTCTAGTTTATTTGTAATAGAACATGCGTTTATTGTCTACCAGATAGCGTTGAGGTGCCCTATGAAACTAAGCTGGATCTTCGTATACGTTGGTGTTATATGCGTGTGTAACAAGTAAACTCAGTAAGGAGGTGGATGGAAAGCTCCCTTCGCCTGTCGTGGTTGACATTTGACACACCTCCCCGGTCCGCTGCAGGTCACAACGTACTCCATGTGGACGTGCTGTTCAAGGCCAAGTACATCTACTGGGTGGAGTTCAACCTGCTCGGCAAGAACGGCATCTACCGCGCCCGGCCGAACGGTAAGGACGCGCGCACCCCGCCGCCGACCCCGGTTCGGTCTGCTCAATTATATCAGTTTCTGGCTAAGTTGAACCAATTACTATGCATTTCAGATCCCCTGGAACAGTCCTTTTTGGCTCTTTCTCGTTACCTATACGCTTGATTTCAACCAAACTTTGACACAATGAGTTTCAAGGGCCTACCTAATTTTTACTAATATGGTCTTTTAACAAATTGTCAAAATGAAAGGCACTTGTCGTTGACTTGTAATGGTAAAAATCGATCGGAAAACTCTGCGCCGTGGTAGAGGCTAGCATGGCGTAGCAGCGTCAGCTGTTGCGCCGCGGCTAAGCTCCGCCCACTGCGCCGCGACACCGAGACCGGTCATTCGCCTCTCGGGGTCGGGGCGGTGCGGAGCTCTGGCGGACTGGAACAAGACGCACGCTAACGCAGGTGTCCTTGCGTGAATGTGTCGTATCTCGCGCGGAGAGAACGAGGATGAAGAATGCATTGCAATGCAGATCGGTGCATGTATAAAGCGATAAGCACTCCTTCCAACTACAGAGTAAGCTCCAGAATGTTATTGCCTACAAAATAAAAAGAATCTTACAGTTTCAATAATGTATAACGAGCTTCTCCGCTGCCCTGTTTTCCTACAGGCAATGGTACATTTAAGGAGCAACGAAACAGAATCTACTGGATTGTCTTTAGATACGTATGTGCTATGGAATGTGACATTCAACGGCCTTATTTAATTGAGGATATCCACATATGTACTTGCATTCCATTTTTTTTAAAGAATAAAATTCTGTTATTTTTTTGGTGTAAAAATATTCAATTTTCCATAATAGTTCCACAATGCTTTGAGGATATCGTTGATAGATCTTAGGGCTGAAAAAACATTAAAACAGAGAAAGATGTCTTTCGTCTACCGTTTTTGTCTCTGGTCTCCTGTCTCTGCTCTAGCGTTTATGCACATTTTTGCTGTCCACTAGCCACCGTCTACCGTTAGTCTCATTGTCACTTTGTCTCATCTTCCTTTTTCTTTCTTACTCCGTCCTTATTTGTCGTAGAACACCTTAATAAATACAACTTCATGACGTGCAAACAAGTGCTCCACTCCGCTGCGCTGCGCGCGCGGCCCGCACGCCGGCCGGCCAGACTGCGACTGCCGCCGACATGACCCGAGGCTGGACCGCAAGTGGGCGGAGCCAAGCCGCAGTGACGACCAATCAGAGGGGAGACAGCGCCCAGCCTGTGCCAGCCTCTAAGCAGGGCTCTGACGACCTTAACATTATCAGTCAATGACAAGTGCCTTAATTTTTTAATTTTTGTTAATAGACCATATTGATAAAAATTAGGTAGGGCTCTCAAACTACCAATGCCAAAATTTGGTTAAGATCAAACGGATATACAACGAGAAATAGCCGAAAAGGACTGTTCCACAGGGTCTGAAATGCATAATAGTGTTTTTGCAGCATGGATGGCCGTCCCGCGACTTCCGCTGTTGGTCCGTGTAATCTGTGTGGCCTCTGCCAGATCCTGTAGATGTCGTGTCTGGCTGTATTATGCGACCATCTGACTTCGCCTCTGTTCGACAGGTACCGACATGGAGGCCATAGTGTCGAGCGGCGTGGGCTCGAACGGCATCCGCGGCATCGCCGTCGACTGGATCAACGACAACGTCTACTTCACCAACTCGTTCCCGCACGAGACGTTCCTGGAGGTGTGCCGCACGGACGGCCAGCACCGCATGGTGCTCTTCAAGACCATCAAGGACTCGCCCAAGGAGATCGCCGTCAACCCCGTCAAACGGTGAGAGCCAGGGCCAGAGCGAGAGGGGAATGAGAAGGAAGGGAAGGAAGAAGTAAAGGTTTGAGCTCGGCAGTATTTTCTTGGATGGATGATTAACTGCTCAATTTTGCCTGATCTTAATTAGCGATACCATGCGATACCATAGACCTCTGCACACCTGACCATGGTCTACCACGGCGCACAGAGGTTTGTTGTAATGCATTTTTTCAACCATCATAATACTTAACTCCGTTCATTCCACATTCATGTACCATTACTATGCCTTTGCATGATATATTAACATTTCTAATTTCACAACACCTTACACGCAATATCACAAATCACAATAGGCCGCTGGCTAGAGTTGTCCGAGCAGAATGTGCGCCGGTCGGTGTGACTACACAGGGCCCGAGCGGGTGACGATCGCAGGCTCCTCTCCCGTGACTGGATGACTAGACGTGGGTCGAGCCGGAGCGGTGTTTCGAGCCGGCCAGCTCAAAGAACAGCACGTATGCCTTTCCGCTGTTGACGTTTCTCTGATCCATCACGTGGACCCGCGAGTCGTTGTACTCGTATCACTCTGCCGTGTACGGGTGTCGGCAGTGAGCGGTGTAATGTCCTGAGAGCAGCGTGCCAGTGTCTGTCTTTGTTGACACCCCTGTCTCTCCCCGTGTTCCGGTGTGTCTGAACTGACGTCTGTGCTCCTCTCTGCAGCTACCTGTACTGGATCGACTACGGTCAGAACCCCAAACTGTCCCGCTCCCAGCTGGACGGAAACGGCACAACGCGGATCGTCACCAGAGGTGAGGAGACGCGCACCGACAACGGGCTCGACTGTTTACAGGGCTGTGACCGTACGAACAATCTGAGGTCACAGAGTGGGGTGATGTGATCCTTGTCTCCGTGAAGTGAGAAGTTCTTAGGAGATATCAGCATTTTTATTTAAAGGTTGAACGTATTTTCCGCGGCATTTGTATTCATTTATTGCATCGTATTTGAGTATGATATGTTTCATTCGATACTATGTCCTTTTGCGGCGCATTGGCTTTCGCTGGCGTCTTTAAATAGCGCCCACCACACACAAGACCTGACCTGTCCTGCCTCCCTGCCCCCGACCTCCGCAGGTATCAGTCAGCCGCGTGACCTGACCTGACCTGACCTGCCCTGTCCCTCTGCCCTGACATCCACAGGTATCAGCCAGCCGCGTGACCTGACAATCGATATGCTCACCCACGACGTCTACTTCGCCGACTCGAGTATGGACGCCATCATGAAGGTGGATTACCAGGGCAACAGCCGGCAGGTGATCCGCCGCAACCTGCCCAACCCGGTCGGCCTGGCCGTCCACCTGGGCGACCTGTACTGGGTCGACCGCAACCTGCGCACCGTCTTCCGCGCCTCCAAACTGGCCGGCAACACCACCGAGGCGCAGAGCCTCAAGTCCGGCCTGGAGACACTCCGGGACATCAGCATCTTCGACGCCAACAACCAGCCGACCGGGAAGACGCCGTGCGCCAGCGCAGGCTGCGAGCAGCTCTGCTTCGCGCTGCCCGAGGGCGACGACAAGGGCGGCCTGCTGTCGGGCGGCTACCGGTGCGCTTGCGCCACGGGCACGCTGGCTACCGACCGACGCCGCTGCTCGCAGAGCGAGGACTACCTCATCTTCACCACACGCACCGAGATCCACAGCGTGCACATGGACCCGCGCGTTACCAGCGTGCCCTTCGAGCCCATCGTGAGTAACATGCGGGGGAGAGAGGGAAGGATCCCCTTTGGACCGAGTTTGAATGCCGCCTAATGGGAGAGAGGGTGGGCAGTGGTCTAGGTTATCTGCATTATTATTGGTCAGAAGGATAATTTTATTGATACTGTCCACTTTGATGTCACAGCGAGGTGAATCTAACGTCACTGCACTCTCCCGCCCAAACTTCATGCCGCTTAACGGGGCCAATTACAACACGTCCCTACCAATATCAGAGCCTTTGTCCGGCGATCTGTGTGATTTGGACTCTGTTGCCTATAACCCGGCCCCCGCTGACCGTCCGTCCGTCCGCAGACCAACTTCACCAACGTGGTGAACATCGACGCCGACGTGGCCGACGGAAAGCTACTGTTCACCGAGGTCAGCCCGCCCGACCGAATCGGCTGGCTGGCCATGGACGCGCTACGCGCCGGAAACGGAACAACCATCATATCGGTACGGGTATAACGTATCCTCACAGTACCCCTACCCCTACACCTAACCCCATCCTTTCCGCTTACACCTGCCCAGAAAATGCACGTTCATCATCTTGACCGTGCCATCACCGTCTTCACTACTGTCGTCCATCACTGTTTCGCCCCCAGTTTCTTGAGTTTGGTATTTACTTGTTCGCCACACCTCCAGTCTGTATGTCTAATTACACGGTGCCCCGGCCCCCAGGGTGATGAGACTGCGATGGACCCGACCGGCATCGCGTACGACTGGATCGGAAAGAAGGTGTACTGGGCGGACTCTCGCAACCACTCGATCTACGCCATGAACCTGGACGGCTCGCACGTGGTCATGCTGGCCAATGTGGAGCGGCCGCGCTCGCTGGTGCTCGACCCGTGCAAGGGATACATGTACTTCATCGACTGGAACAGGTGCGTGCCAGCCAGAGGGTGGGGTAGAACGGGATAGTAGACGGCTGAGTCACTGGATATTTATCCGTACGGGTAATGCTACATATTTTCTAAGTGTCACTCAATTAACGTATTTTGTTGTTGTGGGATATCTATGACGCTAGTTGGTTCTGACGATATGAAACTAGGCTCAGGATTTGCAGATTATGTAGCTCGAGGTGTGAGGCATCCAAACATTGCTCGCAAGCGGCCAGCACCCTGATGAGTCGTCTACCTTGGCACTGTGAGCATCACTTAAACCCTGACCCGTCGCCAGGTACGGCTCTCGCGCCAAGATTTTCCGCGCGACGATGGCCGGCTCGTTCAAGGAGGCGATCGTCGAGTCGAACCTGACGCAGCCGTCGGGCCTGGCGCTGGACCGCGCCGACCAGAAGATCTACTGGACCGACCTGCTGAGGGAGAAAATCGAGCGCGCCACGGTCAACGGTACCCAGCGAGAGGTCAGTCAGAGGGGAGGGAGAGGGGGTTAGAGGTACCCAGCGAGAGGTCAGTTAGAGGGGGGGGGACGCTGTCAACGGTACCCAGCGAGAGGTCAGTCAGAGGGGAGGGACGCTGTCAACGGTACCCAGCGAGAGGTCAGTTAGACGGGAGGGACGCTGTCAACGGTACCCAGCGAGAGGTCAGTTAGAGGGGAGGGAGAGCGGGTTTGAGGTATCCAGCGAGAGGTCAGTTAGAGGGGAGGGAGGGGGCGCTGTCAATGGTACCCAGCGAGAGGTCAGTTAGAGGGGAGGGAGAGTGGGTTAGAGCCTAGAGGTACCCAGCGAGAGGTCAGTTAGAGGGGAGGGAGAGTGGGTTAGAGCCTAGAGGTACCCAGCGAGAGGTCAGTTAGAGGGGAGGGAGAGTGAGTTAGAGGTACCCAGCGAGAGGTCAGTCAGAGGGGAGGGAGAGTGGGTTAGAGGTACCCAGCGAGAGGTCAGTTAGAGGGGAGGGAGAGTGGGTTAGAGGTAGTAGGTACCCAGCGAGAGGTCAGTTAGGGGGAGGGGGAGTGGGTTAGAGGTACCCAGCGAGAGGTCAGTTAGGGGGAGGGAGAGGGGGTCGCAGTTAGTGTCCCCCACCCGGCGAGTGACAGCGCTCTGGGCCGTGTATGTACACCGCGGCCACACAGACCCCTCGGCCGCCCAGCGCCGCCGCTGACGCTCCCTGCCCTACCTCCAGGTGCTGATTGCTGCCACGCTGTTCCCGTACGGTATAGCGGTGCACGGCAACTACATATACTGGACGGACCTGCAGCTGCGGGGCGTGTACCGGGCAGAGAAGCACACCGGAGCCAATACTGAGGTACGGACGGAGAGGGTCATACTGGGCCGGACTAACGCTACAGGAGGGAGGGGACGGGAGGAGTCCGAGGGGCAGTAGCGGGGTGCCTGGTCACACTGAGGGTGTGTTTGGTGAGAGGTATAGGGAATGCATCCTGTTTACAGAGTAACAGCAATTGTACTCCATTTGTAACCCCTTCCCGGTGTTCACAGGAGATTGTTGGCCGCCTGGACGGTACTCCACGCGACATCCTCGCCTTCTCTAAGGACAGCCAAAAGTGCGAGCCGGCGCGCAACCCGTGCGAAATCAACAACGGAGGGTGTGCGCAGAGCTGCCACCCCAGCATTAATGGCACGGTAAGCACAGCTGCCACCCCAGCATCAACGGCACGGTAAAAGAGGCATTGAAGGCACGATAGGAAGAGCGAGTGACCTGGCAGGACGCCGCCACATCCCAATACCCCATGCTTGAGGCGGTATTTTCATTACGCTCGACGTGCTAACGATAAGCCAGTTTAGAGTAACGGGCTATGAGCTGTGTGTAGGTGCCTGCCTACTTCTGGTTAAGATGCAAATTTAGTTAAGAAATGTTAATAAAAAAGTTAAGAAATTTTACGTGCCTTAGAATATTGTAGCTGGACTGATAAGTCTCAGCAAAATACACGTATAAGTGACACAGCCTCTTAAGTTGTCCTTGGATCAGTGTATGATAACCTGTTCGGGCGTCGTCCTCAGGTGGAGTGTAAGTGTAACACGACCACCAAGCTGGTGAACGAGGGCAAGATGTGCGTCACCACGGACCTGACGTGCGACAACAACAAGTTTGTGTGCGGTAACGGCAAGTGCATCAGCCGGCTGTGGGCGTGTGACGGGGAGGACGACTGCGGAGACGGTACCGATGAGGACGAGAACTACTGCAGTGAGTGGCGGGGGAGATACTGCAGGGAATGGGGAAACATTGCAGTGAGTGGCGGGGGACGAGCGACTGTACCTATCGAGGGACGCCGCAGTGAGTGCTGGAGACCCTGCTGCACAGATTGGGGAACAAACACGTCATTTAATGACGAAACTACCGCGGTAGGGGTGGAGTGAGGATGGGGCGGGGGGGGGGGGACAAACCACTGTATCGGGTGAAAGTAACGTCTGCAGTGAGTTTTGTTGGGACAGTCGCCGGGCCACCTCACCTGGCCGCATGCAAGTCCTCAGTCATGGCACTATTTATTTCGCTTCCCTTTGACACGGCACGCCAAACGCAGACAACGAAATGCTGATCTATTGTTGATTATGGGTATAGTTATCCCTTTCTCTCAGATGCCAGCGACCAGTGCTGACCCTCTCGCTCTCGTGCAGCGCCATTATTGACTCCCCCTCTCCCCTCCCCTCCCGCTTACAGCGTTCCACACATGCAGTCCGTCCGAGTTCCGCTGCGGCAACGGCCGGTGCATCTTCAACTCGTGGAAGTGTGACCACGAGGATGACTGCGGCGACGGGACGGACGAGATCGACTGCGACTACCCGCCCTGCGCCGACGGAGAGTTCACGTGCGCCAACCACCGCTGCATCTCCATGGCAGACGTACGTGCAGAGTCGTCACTGACCCGACAACGGCCCGACCTGCTCGGATCTTATCGTCCCCATACCCGGCCCCACTATCCTTATTCGTCCCCCAAGCGTCAGCGCCCTTCTAGCCTGCTCTCTCTCTCTCTCTCTCTCTCTCTCTCTCTCTCTCTCTCTCTCTCTCTCTCTCTCTCTCTCTCTCTCTCTCTCTCTCTCTCTCTCTCTCTCTCTCTCTCTCTCTCTCTCTCTCTCTCTCTCTCTCTCTCTCTCTTCTTGCACGCCACGCGGCGGGCCCCCTAGGGGGCCCGCCGCGGGAGCACGTCGACGGGGGGTTCGACGCGCCCCACTCCTCGGAGAAACTCCGTGATTTTATTGGCCGGCTCCTGGAAGATTTCACGGAGCGTTGGCGTAAAACCCCAGAGCCGGCCTCGGGTGCGGGAGTATGCGGGACACTCCGTTAGTAGGTGCTCGACGCTATCGGGCTCGGAGCAGGCAGGGCAGCAGTCGTCTTCCGCCAGCTCCAGCCGTAGCAGCGTGTCCCGGGTGAGTGGCGAACATCCGGTACGCAGTTGGGAGATCGTGACCGACTCCCAGCGCGTCATCTCGTCGTGCCCCGGGGTGGCAGCCGGGAACGGGTGGGCGTCTCGGGCGCGGGCGCGCGCCATCTCCACGGCGTGGCGCCTGATCGCTCCGCGGGCGCTGGCCAGGTCGACGGCCACCCGTGCCTGGTCTTCGGTTGCGGCCTCCGCCGCCAGGCGGTCCGCAGCCTCATTCCCAGTCACTCCCGCGTGGCCCGGGACCCATTGGAACACGATCTGGTGGTCACCGTCCCTCCAGCTCGTGGATGAGGCGCCAGACTTCGGTGGCGAGAGCCGACGTCTGGGCCTCCGGGCCCCGTCGCAGTAGTTGCAGGCCTGACATGGAGTCGGTGAGGAGGCGGATTCTTCGGGTCTGCGCGCGTTCCTCGGCGTCGAGGTTGGCGACCACTGCAAGAGCCTCCTTGATGGCCGTCAGCTCGGCCCTCAGGCTACTGCAGACTCCGCCTGCGGGGGCGCGCACCTCCACCTCCCTGTCCAGTCGGTGAAGTTCGGTAAGCGCGCCCGCGCCTCCGTTTCGGGTGCCGCCCCCCGCCGATCCGTCCGACCAGATGGTCACATCCGTCGGTGGTAGCTCGGCGATGGCGCGTAGCGCCGCCTCTCTTCTTTTGTCCGGTGGGTCCGTCTTCTTGGTTGCAGTCGGTAGGCTGATCACGAAGCGGACCGCTCCGCTGCCAGGGCGCCAGGGCGGTCGGCACCGGTGGAGGCTCAGCGGCTCCGCAGGGAGGGACGCCAGCTCAGCTCCCTCGGCCATCCACCGGCCGACTCTGCGCAGGCATGGCTTGTGCGTCAGGGTAGCGTCTTCATCCGGCGGTTTCGGTAGTGGGCGGTGCCCGGCTGCAGCCTCTGAGCATGCTCTAGTCCACGCCTCATGGGCTCGGTACTTGAGGCGTGGCGGCGGGCACGTCAGCATCAGGGTTCGGGCTGGGTCGTTCTCTGAGAGGCGCACCATCCGCTGGTACTCGATGCCAGCAAGTTGCTTGGACCTCACCGTCAGGGGAAGAAGGTCGGCTTCCGCGGTGAGTGCGCCTGTCCTCGTCAGTCGGATGCACCCAGTGATCAGTCGAGAGCACTTGTTTTGCTCCGCCTCAAGCTGCTCCCTTACCGCCGGTGCGCAGTGGGTTCCGAAGACAGCGGCGCCGTAGTCGTACAGGGCTCGGATGTATCCGATATACGCCGTTCTGAGGGTTCTTCGGTGGCTGCCGTACGACTTGCCGGCGAGGGCTTGCAGGCACTGTCTTCTCTGGGCCATTTTCTTCTTCAGGTCCTTGACGTGTTCTGTGAAGGTCAGTTGGCCGTCGAACTTGATCCCCAGGAACGTCGGGTTCTCGGTGATTTCCAGGGGCTCGCCGCGCATGCTTAGCCTCGGTCGGGCCTTGCCGCCCGTCTCCTTTGGGTCCAGCGAGAAGGCAGTGACGGAGCATTTGCTGATGCTGGGCGTCACTTTCCATTTCTTCAGCCATTCGTCCGTACTGTCCAGGCACGGCTGGAGTGTCTGGCAGCACTTCTCGATGGACACGTTCGTGGCGAGCAGGGCGACGTCGTCTGCGTAGAGTGACCTGGCGACCTCCTGTGGCATGTTGCCGTCGATGTCGTTTACGTATACCAGCCACAGCAGGGGTGCCAGTACGCTGCCCTGCGGGAGGCCCTCCTGGAACACCCGGGAATCGGACAGGGTGGCGCCCCATCGGACGCGGGCGCGGCGATCTGTGAGGAATGCTCTCACCCAGCGGATTGCGCATCCCGGGATGCCGAGGCGGTTCATCTTGGCGTAGAGGGCCGCTCTCCACACCCGGTCGTAGGCCCTGGCGAAGTCGAGCAGGACCAGTACAGCTCGGTTCGGTGGGCGCGCCTCGAAAGCGTCGAAAATCCGCTGGGTGACGCGTCCGGCGTCCCACCTGGTCGATGGTCGAGTGTCCTCTTCGGAAGCCTGCCTGGTTCACGTTGAGCTTGTTGTTGGATTCGAGCCAGTGTTGGAGTCTTGCCTGGAGAAGCCGCTCTGCCACCTTGCTGATGGAGGACAGCAAGGAGATGGGCCGGTAGCTCCCAGTCTCTGATGGTGGTTTCCCTTTCTTCGGGATAGCGACGATCTCGGCTGTCCTCCAGGAAGCCGGTGTGACACCCTCTTGCCAGGATCTGTTGATGAGGGTCCAGCGAGTTCTAGTTCTAGTTCTAGCCTGGGTTCTAGCCTGCTCCCGGGCCGGGCCCCTCCCCAGCAGTTTTAATAGCGGCTCTACTCTCTTTTTCGATTGACGCTTTTTTCATTTGTGCTGGTACTGTAGTTCGCGTCTAGCCTTCTCTCCTGACGTCTGGTATGGCGTTGTTTGATAGTTGATCTGACTCTATCTGCGCCCACCAGGTGTGTAACGGCGTGAACGACTGCCGCGACAACAAGACGTCCGACGAGTCCCTGGAGCGGTGCAAGAACACCACCACCACATGTCCGGCCGGCCACCGCAAGTGCGAGACGACCAACATCTGCGTGGAGCCGTACTGGCTGTGCGACGGCGACAACGACTGCGGCGACAATAGTGACGAGGACGAGCTGCACTGCAAGGATCGCCACTGTCCCAACAACAGCTTCAGGTGGGTAATTACTGTCACAACAACTGCTTCAGGTGGGTAACGGCCACCGCCACTGTCCCAACAACAGCTTCAGGTGGGTAACAGACATCATCACTGTCCCAACAACAGCTTCAGGTGAGCCACTGTCCCAACAACAGCTTCAGGTGGGTAACAGACATCATCACTGTCCCAACAACAGCTTCAGGTGAGCCACTGTCCCAACAGCTTGAGGCATTCCGGAATGTCTGTTTTCACTTTTCAGAAGCTACTGTTGCGTCCTTGTCTGTCCCGCCTCTTGCGGCTAGCTTCCCGTGCTTATTTTGACCTACCCGAGCTGTATTCTGACGGCCTCCATCGCCGCCAGGTGCTCCAACCACCGCTGTATCCCGGCCACCTGGCACTGCGACGGAGACGACGACTGCGGAGACGGAGCAGACGAGCCCGCCGACTGCAAGTCCAAGGAGCGCACCTGCTTCGGCGACCTCTTCACCTGCGACAACGGCAACTGCATCCCGCGCATCTACATCTGCGACGGCGACAACGACTGTCTGGACGGCTCAGACGAGGATGAGAAACACCAGTGCAGTGAGTTTTCACCAGCCGAGGGCGCGCGAGAGTGAAATGAGTTATGGATAGCGGAATAGCAAAGGAAGAACTGAGAAGGGATACTCCGTTAGTTCATGAGATAGCCCTGCGTTTGTGTCTGGCTTTATCCGTTTTGTGTGCCCGTTTCCTAACCACCGATCTCTTGTGTTCGACAGACAACCGTCAGTGCTCCAAGGATGAGTTCGCGTGCACGGAGAACAAAAAGTGGGGCCGCGCGCTGTGCATCCCGAGGCGGTGGGTGTGTGACGGCGACCCGGACTGCGTGGACGGCGCCGACGAGGATCGGGTGCACGCCAACTGCACCGAGCTACCCAACACGTGCACAGAGGAGCAGTTCACCTGCAACAACGGACGCTGCATCAACAGCGTGAGTAGTTACAGCCGGCTGTCGTGTCTTTACGATGGGTTTGTCGTGTCCTTGCACACAAAATCTTGTTTGAAACGGCCAATTGGCGTGTCTCTAGCTAGACTGATCATCATCATCATCATCATCATCATCATCATCATCATCATTTATTTCTTGAAGACTTCCACTCACCGTGGCTCTTACAGTCGGATTAGTCGAACTATGTGTGCTTGCTCTAGCTGTTATTTATTACATTCTCCGGCGTTGCCTACTTCCCGTTCACTGCCCACCATGCGCCTGTTTTGCCCCTAGAAATGGGAGTGCGACCACGACAACGACTGCGGCGACGGCAGTGACGAGGGCAAATCGTGCAACACCCGCTACCGCAACTGCACCGCCGACGAGTTCGCCTGCGACAACGCCAAGTGCGTGCGGAAGGCGTACCACTGCGACGGGGACGACGACTGCGGCGACTACTCGGACGAAAAGGACTGCTGTGAGTGCCGCGAGCCGTGAGAGTAGCTGCATTTTGTACCTTGAGTGGAACGTGGAGAATATCTCAAACGATCTTGCCAATGAAATTTTGCTTTTAAGCTCACGAAGTATGCGCATTGCGCAGCTTTCGTCGCTGTTTCCCCACTATTACACCCCATCGTCATCCCGACTCGCTGCTGACGGTCCGTCGGTGTCCGTTACAGCCAAGGAGGAGACCGAGTGTCCCCCGGGAGAGTTTTCGTGCGGCGGCAAGGACCTCGAGAAGCGCTGCATCAAATACGAGCTCGTCTGTAACAAGGTACGGCCCGCTGTGCTAGAACCAGGCTCAGGATGTGACTTATGACGTGCTGTTCTGGATGCCGTCAGCATGTACTGGACATTGCTGCAGCACAAAGCTAACCTGCATTTACTGTTCAAACGGTCTGCCTCAAGTTTAACGTTGAGGACATTGGTTCAATCGCCGCAGTGCGATACATTAGACATGTTCCCATTCTTCGATTAGCGCGTTCATTGGCCGTCAGAGCTGTTGGACGCTTCCTAAACTGACCGTCGTCCCTGCTCTGACTAGGTGGACGACTGTGAGAACGGCGCTGACGAGCCGCTGCACTGCAACGTCGACGAGTGCGCCAAGACGGAGCTGCACCAGTGCGGACACAAGTGTGTCAACACCCTCACCGGCTACTATTGCGAATGCAACTCCGGATACAAGTGAGGCTCAGGGGAATGGGTGCAGACTAGAAGGGGAACAAGATATCTTGCGCCCGCTAGTCGCTGCGCATCGCGTTAGGCCAGTAGATCGTAAAATGAGGAGATATAAAATTTGGATCAATTGATATTTGTTCCGTGACGATCGGATGTCTAGAAGCTGAGATATTCTCTAAAAAAACTTGCTGTACTTGCCAATGTCTTGCTACTTGACAAAGTACCTAAAAACATAAAATTTCGGATCGATTGGTGCATGTACCGTATCAATCAGACGTCTAAAAGCTGAGATATTCGCGAAAAACCTGCTGTACTTGCCAATGTACTTGCTAGCCTACTTAATACTTGCCCAAGTAATTGATACGTGCCGTAATACCTTATACTTGCTAATGTACTTGCTACGTCGTACTTGTGCTTGGTACTTGATAAAAGACTTGGAACTTAAATAGGTATTAAATTTATTATCGATCGGTGCCTGTCCCGTGTCGGTCGGACGTACAGAAGCGTATATATAGGTTTTCACTGAATGCCGACGGCCGGCGAATTATTTCGTCCGGCGCTGAGCACAATCTTTGGAACCAATGCTGTCTGATTGGTTATCACCAATCATGATTGTCGCTGATTCAGATCTTCTTTCCCCAGGCTGATGGCCGACAAGAAGGCGTGTGAGGACCTGAACGAGTGCTCAGAGCAGATCAGCAAGTGTTCTCAGAAGTGCTTCAACATGCCGGGCTCGTTCGCCTGCAAGTGCGACGAGAAGTACTACGACAGAGAGCTGGACGGCTACACGTGTAAGCGGCGCGACAACATCGAGCCGTGGCTCATTATCACCAACAAACACTACGTGCGCAATATCTCCACGGACGGCGCTCACTACACGCTCATGCACCAGAACCTGCAGAACGTAGTGGCGCTCGACTTTGACCTGAAGGAGGACCGACTCTACTTCGCTGATGTCGGCGACAAGAAGATCCACAGGACGGTCCGCAATGACAGCGGTGACTTCTACGAGCCCATCATCACCAGTGGGACGGGCGGCCTGGAGGGCCTCAGCGTCGACTGGGTGGGCCGCAAGCTCTACTGGCTGGACCGGCACGAGAAGCACCTGGACGTGTCCAACCTGGACGGCTCGTACCGGCGCACGCTGATCAACCGCGGCCTGACCGACCCGCGAGCCATTTCCGTCCACCCGGGCATCGGGTACATTTTCTTCACAGACTGGAACTTGCAGTCGTTCATCGGTAAGGTCGGCATGGACGGCAGCAATTTCACGCGCATCCTGACATTCAACGACAAGGTTATCTGGCCCAATGCGCTCACAATCGACTTCTTTGCCGATAAGATCTTCTGGGCGGACGCGCACATGGACTACATCGCCTACTCGGACTTCGAGGGTCGCGGACGGCACGAGGTTCTTCAGGGCGCCAACGTTCACCACGTGTTTGCTCTGACCGTCATCGACGACACGCTCTTCTGGACCGACTGGAACCTCAAGGCGGTGGTGCGCGCGCACAAGTTCACCGGAGAGAACGTGTCCATTCTGCGCAACACCACGCACCGTCCGTACGACATCAAGGTGTATCATCCGCTGCGGCAGCTGGCCTATCCGAACCCTTGCGCCGAGAACAACGGCGGCTGCTCGCACCTGTGCCTGCTGTCGCCCAAACGCGACGGCGGCGTCCGCGCCCAGTGCGCGTGTCCTGACGACTACAAGACACGCGCTGACGGCCGTACTTGCGTGCACAACTGTCCGCCCCGCACCCACCGCTGCGGCCCGCCCGACGACATCTGTATCCCCTGGTTCAGCAAGTGAGTACGCGCCCGGGTGCCGGTAGCCATACTGGAGCACGGCGCTGGGCAACATGAGGTCAATCTTCTAGAGATATCGGGCTTCAGTATGGCAGGCTTTTATGTCAATCTATGTGACCGCTTTATGTAGTAGCTATTGTGATTTGTGACGATGCCATTTATTCAACTAGCTGTTTGTTACGCTGTTCTTTGTCTTTGTTTTCTGGATTGCTTGTCCATCTCGCCGTCCGTGACATTGTCTCCAGTACCTCGGCGTGACGCGTGACGCTGGGTTTCAGATGTGACGGCGTGACACAGTGTAAGGACGGCTCGGACGAACACGACTGTCCGCCGCGAGTGTGCGAGGCCGGCCTGTTCCAGTGCAAAAACAACAACTGCACCACGTCGGCGGCATTCTGCAACCGTAAGTGCCGCCAGACCGAGAGGCAGCCGCGAGACGGGCTGTTTCTCCTGGGACTCGTACTGGCACACACGCTAACGAAACGCTCATAGCTCGCTAGCAGCGTCGATGCTGGTGAATGTTTGGCTCAGATCTAACATTCCATGTAGCATTTTTGTTTTCGTCTATATTGTATTGCTTTTTTACCGCTGCTATCCACGATAAAATGGCAAGAACACTTTCATATTGAATTGCCGAGGCTGGCTGGCAGTATGCTTGCCACTACTGGGAAGTGTCTGGCAGGAAGCTGCCTGATGAACTGTGTGCCGGTCGGTGCTGAGTCAGGCGCCCTGCTCTGTGCCCCTGTGGTCTGCCTCAGCCCCTGTCGGCCCCTCAGCTCCTGTAGCTCCCCTCAGCTCGTGTAGCTCCCCTCAGCTCCTGTAGCTCCCCTCAGCTCGTGTAGCTCCCCTCAGCCCCTTGTCGGCCCCTCAGCTCCTGTAGCTCCCCTCAGCCCCCGCTGTCCCCCTCAGTCCCCGCTGCCCACCTCAGCCCCGGCGGTTCCCTGTAAACGCTCTGTCATTGTCCTGGCTGTGCTGACGATTCGTCCTGTTGCCACCGGCAGTGATTGACGACTGCGGCGACAACTCGGACGAGGAGAACTGCGCCCACGAGTGTCCCGAGCACATGTTCCGCTGCACCAAAAACGGCTACTGCATCAACGAGTCGTGGAAGTGCGACGGCGACGCCGACTGTACCGACGGCACGGACGAGTCCGAGGAGATCTGCCGTGAGTGGCCACCCGCCCTCCTCAACTCTAACTCTGCTCAGCTCTGCTCTGTATTGATGTGCTCTGAGGCCTCTGCTTGTCTCTTCCCCCTTCCTTTCTCCTTTCCTCCCAGGCAGCGTGCCTCCATCCGACCCTCTGTACCACCGAGGCTCCCAGACGGCCTCACCAGTGCTGTATCCTATACCGCGCCCCCAGTGTGTGCCCCACCACCCTGTGCTGCTCTCCGCTGCCCTGCGCCGTCCTGTCGATACGCCCGGCTAACTCTGCGAACAGTTGCGTCACGACCGGCTCTAAATGTCACCGAGCTGTTCCGTGTCACCGCCGCCGGACCGAATCGACACCCCATTGGGGATCAGATATGACCTCACTATCGCTGGGGCTTTGTAAAATGCCCGGTAAATCCTGTCGGGTGGTGTGTTCCCCTCCCATTACCCAGATGTGTGAGTGACGCGCTGACATGCCCCTTTCCTCTCTCGGTTCTTTTCTACAGACGTGGGCGGCTGTGACAAGGACACCCAGTTCGCCTGTAAGAACGGCAAGTGCATCGCCAAGCTGTGGTCCTGCGACGGCGACAACGACTGTGGGGATGACAGTGACGAGCCGGCGCACCTCTGCAGGTGGGTCAGGGTTCTTCCGGGGGGAGGGGTCAGATGGGACCGCCGCGAGAACCTGCACCGTTCTGACACCACCTCAACGACACATCGTGACTCGTCAGTTGAGTCAGGCTGGGGAGCTGGGATCGGTATGGCGGTAGTCACCGCCCGAAGGCATGACTGGTCATTTCGTTCGTATATTATAGTCAACGAGAGTACATATGGACATCATTATAGTGTCGCAACACAACGTACGACTCAGTTTCACCCTGTCTGTTGGCTCCACACCAACACAGACATCCCGTGTGGGCCGTCCCCGGAGTAGACGTGCTCGCTCGCTGTGGCCGGTCCCGGGGTGGACGGGCTCGCTCGCTGCTGGCCTTCCTGGGGAACGTGCTCGCTCGCTGCTAGCCGTCCCCGGGGTGAACGGGCTCGCTCGCTCGCTGTGGGTCCGTCGACTCTCCGCCGGCCGCCCGTGCCGCCGTGACTGTCACGCTCCCCGCTGATGGGTCGCTGACAGCTGCCATGGGCGCCTCGGATGACCGGCCGGACCTGCATGCCGCGTGGTCAGTCAGCCGCGGTTGACTATTTTTCTGACCGGGTGGGGTCACAGCCAGGTCACCGTTCTCCTGGCGGGACGAGGCCACAGGTCACCGCTTCTCCCTCTGGGTGGGTCATGCACCACCAGTCCCTGCATCTCACCCGTTGTGCATGGGAGACGGCTGCGTCCTTTGGCGGCAGTCAGAGGACTTTTGCTGAGACTAGACACTGCACAGACACTGACCGTCCCGATAAGTCCCTTTCCGTCCCAGCCAGCTCCCTAGCTGACTCGCTGCACTGAGACTGAGACTGAGGCTGTATCACGGCCATCATCGAGTCACTCTCTCAGTCGTTCACGGCAGAGTCCTATTCGCCACATCACCACCGCCCCAGTTCACAGTCCCCTTCATCCGTTGTAAGCAGCGGTTCCGCGGCCACCGACCGTCCAGTGTCGCCTGCCGGCGGTCCGGTCACTCCTTGTCCCCGACCAGCGGGGACCGCTCCATGGTCTCAGTGACCCGCTCCGCCACGGACCCCTGTTCAGGCTCCGGCACCGCGCCGGCTGACTCGTCCAGACCGGCGGCCCGCAGCGCGGCCGATACGCGGCGGGTTGCCACGCCGCCGGAGCGAGCAGACTCCGCGCCGAGGTCGGCCGTTAGGACCGCGCTGCCGCTGCTGGCGCCCGTTAGGGCTGAGCCGCCGCCGCTGTTAATGGCTAATCCGGATTCGGCCTTTAGGGCTGTGCCTCCGCTGCTGCCGGCCGCCAGCACCGCGCTGCCGCCGGAGTCGGCCGCCAGCACCGCGCTGCCGCGGCTGGCGCTCACTGCCGCCGCTCCTTTGGAAGCTGCGGGCCGCGCGCTGAGCTCCTCCGAGCTGAGTTCGGCTGAGGCAGCTGTCTGTCGGCCGGCCGATCCGGCGGTCTTGGCCGCCCCGACGCCGACTCTCTGCTCGACCTTGGTAGCTGTTATAGCGGCCGCCGCCCCTGACTGGCGCAGGGCGGCGGCAGATGAGGCGGCGGCGGCGGCGGACCCCTCAGCGGGGCTTGTTCTGTCGGTGTTAACGCTCACTTTTGTGCTGCTGGTGGTATCGCTAACAGCTGAGGTGCCAGCTTTGCCGCTGGCTTCGGTGCCAATATTGCCGCCGACAATGTTGTCGACTTTGCCCTTGGCAGTGGTGCCACTTCCAACGCTGACAGTGGTGCCACTGTCGCCTCTAGCAGTGGTGCCACTACCAACGCTGGTTTTGGTGTCACGATTACCCTTGGCAGTGATTCCACTGCCAACGCTGGCCGTCGTGCCAGTGCTAACGCTGCCAGTATCAGCGCTGGCTGTGGTGCCACCATCGCTGTCGATAGTGGTGCCACTATCAACGCTGGCTGTGGTGCCACTATCAACGCTGGCTGTGGCGCCACTACCAGCGCTGTCTGCCTTGCCACTCCTGCCGCGGTCTGCGGTGCCAGTGGCGTTGGTAGAAGTGCCACTGCCGTTGGCCGCTTGGCTGATTTCGTGCGCAACGCCGGTCTTTACGTTGCTCTTTTGCTCGGCTTTTGTGGTCGGCCGGACTGCCGATGGCCTAGTGGTAGGTTTGTGTTGTTTGTTGCCGGGTCTCGGAGTTGTAGTAGCTGTTTTTGTCGCTTGAGAGCGGGATTTTTGCTGCTCACTGCCTGGTGTTTTAGAGGCAGATTTCGGCGTTTTAGTGCCGGGTGTCTCAGCACTGGGCCTCCCTGTGTCGTCGGTTCTCGCTGTGGTGCTGGCTTCTGAGGGTGTGGCGCTGGCCCCCGAGCCTGTACCGCTGCCTCCCGGGGCTGTGGTGCTGGCTCCCGGGGCTGTGGTACCGGCTCCCGAGGCTGTGCCCGCTCCGGCAGCTGTGCCCGCTGCAGAGGCTCTGCCGGCTCCGGCAGTTGTGCCCGCTCCGAAGGCCGTGTCACCCAGTCTGGGCGGCGCTACGGTCGGTCGCAGCACGGACTTCAGCATGGTGCGGGAGGTGGAGCGGCTGGGCGGGTCGGCGGCCTGCTCGCTGCGCCGGATCTGCTCCATCTGCTGGCGGGCGGCGTTGTCCCCGATCTGGCGGCCGGCGCGGCGCGGCAGCAGCGAGGCGTTGGCCGCCAGCAGGCCCAGCCCGCCGGTCTCGGCGGCGCGGTCGGCCAGCCGGATCACCTGGTGGGTGAGGTCGGCGCGCCGCAGCACGCCCACCTCCTCGGCGTACCGGTGCAGCTGGAGTGCCTCCGAGTCGAGCGGCGCGCGCAGCAGGCTGGACCAGGGCGGCGCCGACACGGCCGCGCCCAGCAGCGACAGCAGCGCGGGCAGCAGCGCGAGCACACCGGGCGGGCGCGGCGCGCGCATGGCGGCGGCTGGCGGGCGACTGGCGCGGCCCGCACCCGCCGTCCGGCCGTCCGTCCGACACTCGGACAGGCAGAGACGGGTGGGCGGACCGCGAGCAGCGAACGGCGGGAGGTGGCAGCTCTCAGTACGAGCAGCGCGCACTTGTCTTTGAAGGATACCACGCTGTTTCCTCAAGGGCGGAGTCGATGCAGTGAGGTACTAGGAGGTCTAACGTCTTCTAGCAAATCTCCACATCTGATCTGACATTCATCTGAACGTGTTCTTAGCTACCATTGATCTAAATATGTTATTCACAACCGACGTAGTTATTGCGATGTTTTTTTTTGTAGCTTGCGCTCTTTTTTTAACTACACTACACTGGATTGCTGATCACGGTCACGGGCTCTTCTGGCGTTCTCGAGTCAATGTCGGCGCCCTGCATTTCCTCCCGGCGACGGTAGCTGAGCCGGTAGGTGATCTGTGCTGGCCCTGGCCAGTCCTGCAGTGCTGTGTCCCGGCCCCCCTCAGTCCGCTGGCTGCAGCTACCCCGTCCGTCTCGCTCAGAGCGCTGTCAGGACCGCCGCGCTCTGACCTTTGGGCCGCCGACCTCCCATCATTGACAGTTCTCTGACGGATTGGTGACGGGTACCTCAGCCTTCACTCGCCAGCCAACCAGATCGACCATGCCGGAATTAAATCATTAAATCTATAACAGTATCCATTGATAATAATGCCTGACAGATATTGCCCAAGGTACAAGTGCCACCCGGCTACCCTTACTCAGTCTATTGGTGAAGCGGTGCCAGTAGACGCCTTCCCCCTCTGTCCTGTCCTGACCCGACCCGACCCTCCCTGTCCACAGACAGCGGAACTGCACGGAGGGCTGGTCGCAGTGTCCCGGCTGTGACCTGACCTGACCTGACCTAACCTGACCCGCCCCCTCTCTCCACAGGCAGCGGAACTGCACGGAGGGCTGGTCGCGGTGTCCGGGCTGTGACCTGACCTGACCCGACCTGACCTGACCTGACCTGACCTGACCTGACCTGACCCCTGTCTCCACAGGCAGCGGAACTGCACGGAGGGCTGGTCGCGGTGTCCCGGCTGGGCCAACTACCGCTGTATTCCCGACTGGCTGTTCTGTGACGGAAAGGACGACTGCCGCGACGGCTCCGACGAGCTGGAGGAGAACTGCCACCCGTGCGGCGCCACAGAGTTCCAGTGCAGCAACAAACGCTGCATACCAGAGTGAGTAACTGAGTTACGGAGCTGTACCGAGTTCCAGTGCAGCAACAAACGCTGCATACCAGAGTGAGTACCCAGACCGAGCTACAGAGCTGTATCGAGTTCCAGTTACAGTGAGTGAGTACCGGACCGAGTTCCAGTGCAGCAACAAACGCTGCATACCAGAGTGAGCACCAGGCAGTTAAACTGGCATCACCACCGCTGGGCAGGCTGGCTGGAGCAGGCAGACCCTGTGGATCTGTCTGTCTGTTGATGTTGATGATGTCATGGTAAAATTGTGAGATATTGAAGATGTAATGCATATTTATTAAGAGATTTGGGTATTTACAGACTCTACTTGCGCTGGCTGTACTAAAGACTGCGAATCCCTTTGAGCGCTGCTACGTAAAGCTACCAACACCTAGCTACTGTCTTTTTGTGGGCCTTTGACATCCTGTAGGGTATGACTTCGTCTGACCACGTCTGCTGCCGCGCCTCCCACCAGGCGCTGGCTGTGCGACTTCACCAACGACTGCGGCGACAACTCGGACGAGGAGCCCGGCATGTGCAAGAACCGCTACCGCGAGTGTTCAGAGTCCGAGTTCCGCTGCGCCAACGAGAAGTGCATCCCGAACCGGTGGCGCTGCGACCACGACAACGACTGCGACGACAACAGCGACGAGGAACAGTGCGCCGACTTCAAGTGCCAGGTCAGAGGAGCGGGGGCGACAGACGGGGGAGCCGCGCGGGGTGGGCGCGGGTCGCCAGTCCGTAGTCAGTCTGTCTGTGAAGTGGACGGCGTAGGGTCGGTGGGTGTCCCGAGGTCGGTTTAAAGGTCGCTCGCTGTGCTGAGTTGTGACGCCAGCTGTACCACCGACTCTCCGACTCCGTCGGCTGTTGGTTCCTGAGTCCTGTAACGATCCCAGAAGTATTGTGTGCTTGTTCCTCTCAGAACCGGGTCCGCGTCATGCCACTGCGCACAGGAATGGAAAAGACGAGGCCAGGAACCGTCAGATCCGCCACCGCTCACCGAGCTACATGTGACGTCACTCTATGACGCAATATCCCGCCGGACATGACGTCATCAGGTCGTGGGCGTCCCGAAAGTTCATTGCTCGCCAGCGGTGACAGTCCATATCCTGCGCAGAGACGCGCTAACGGTCCGAATAGCTTAACGCGCTGACATTAATCGTGCACTTCAGAGAACCTTCTCCGATATCATTTCTGTGCGTGTGGCTGCAAATGTGACTATTAAACGGTTCTGCTTAAATGGTATAGCATAAGCGACGCTTAACGTCCGGTGCAGCTTTTAACAATTGCTGTAGCCTCATTAATTGGCATCCAATAGCAACTGTTGTAGCCAATTCGATCCTGGCAATGGCTGCATAATGCATGCCTATGCCTCTCTCCCTTAATTGATGTTCACTAGCCCTGCCCTGTTGTACCTCCAGCGCCCTGGCTCTAACGGTCCCTGCCCTGCCCACAGGCTGGCCAGTCCCAGTTTACGCTAGTTCTAACCGTCCCCTACCCTGCCCACAGCCTGGCCAGTTCAAGTTCCCCTGGTTCTAACCGTCCGCTACCCTGCCCACAGCCTGGCCAGTTCAAGTTCCCCTAGTTCTAACCGTCCCTGCCCTGCCCACAGGCTGGCCAGTTCCAGTGCGCCTCTGGCCACTGTATCGGCTCCAAGTTCCGCTGTGACGGCGGCCGCGACTGCCACGACCTGTCGGACGAACTCGGCTGTCCGCCGCGCTTCCCCGGCGGCCGCTTCTGTCCCGAGGATCAGTTCCAGTGCGACAACCACCTGTGCGTGCGTAAACGGGACGTCTGCGACGGCCGGGACGACTGCTGGGACGGCAGCGACGAGCGAGACTGCCGTGAGTCGCAGCAGAGGGGTGCAGTCAGCAGGCGTATACTGGGGATGAGGCACTGTCGTGGGTCAAAATATTGGGATGCACTGTCATACTGGGCCACACTGGGGAGGGCGCACTGCGGTGTGTGGCAGAAATAAGAAAGCAGATGCTAGTGCGGTACCGGCAGAAGCGTAGGTTCTATGTGGGACAAGGCAAAATGGCCGTTAGGGGATGACGTGCTGGGGGAATATTCTGTTGTTAAAAGGAATGGCATACCTTTCTATTGGGAACATGATGCACCGCCATGAGCTGTGCTGTGGAGAAGGATAGCGCAGCTGTGAGTTTCCGAGTGTCTGGCGGACCACTGACCTACCGTCCTATGTCCGTGCCGCGTCCGCAGAGAGCCACGAGTGCGAGGGCCTGCACCGGTTCCGCTGCGACAACGGCCGGTGCGTGCCGCGCTTCAAACTGTGCGATAAGAAGGACGACTGCGGCGACGGTTCAGACGAGAATGATCTGACCGTCTGCTCCGACAGGTCAGCAAACCGACGGTCACACACGGTGGGAGGGCTGGGGAGAAACTTGTTTAAATTGAGATTCAGACATGATGCTGGTTGATTCTCGTTATTGGACTGATTATATGATAAAGATATTTCATTGGCTGTAGCGCCTTAGTTTTGTATCGTTGCTGACTTAATGTTAGGTGGCACACACAGTGGTAGGCAGCTGTAGTCGATGATCGTGTATTACCCTCACGCTCTGCCCCCGCTGACCGCCCGCCGCCCCCCGACAGGCACCGGTTCTGTCGGTACGGCGAGTTCCGCTGTGCCAATGGCCAGTGCGTGGACCGCGCCAAGCTGTGTGACCACTCGGACGACTGCGGCGACCACTCGGATGAGCTCGGCTGCCGTGAGTACACAGAGGGACCAGAATTATTTCATTTGAGCCAAGTTACATCCTGTTGAATGAGGAAGCGCACATTAATCTGTTTTCTCACAATCATTGCTGTCTCAATTAATCGTTAATGGAAGCGTATCCTCATGTCACTTTGTTCAACCGCTGCTCAAAGCGTGGGATGCTTTCGCGACTGCGTTTTTCACTGTCTCTGGATAACCATACTCCCTCCATATCTTACCGTCTGCGCGGCTCCGTCTCTGATCGTCTGATTTCTGTGCACCACGCAGAGGCGGGTAACGACCACTGCGGCACGGACCGCGGCGGCTGCAGCCAGCACTGCTCGGACCTGGCCGAGGGCAGCGGCTACATCTGCCACTGCTACCGCGGCTTCCGCGCCGCGCCAGACAACGCCAAGGTCTGCGAGGACGTCGACGAGTGCCGGGAGTTCAGCCACAACTGCTCGCAGCTCTGCACCAACCTGAACGGCACCTTCTCCTGTGGCTGCCGAGACGGCTTCAAAGAGGTCAGTCCACCGGGAGGACGGGGTTCGGGAGGTCAGTAGACTGGGCAGATGGGCTCCGAGAGGTCAGCCAACTGGGCAGACGGGTTCCGGGAGGTCAGTCCACTGGGCAGACGGGTTCCGGGAGGTCAATGGTCACTAGTCGGTGCTGCGACGGTAATCATGGGTGGTCTCGGTGTAGATTCGCAAACTATGGCGTTTATTACCTAAGCCCTCTGAGTGACGGTGTACAGTGTGAACTGACACCGCTCTGCCCCCGCAGGACGGTCTGACGGCGTGTGAACTGTGAACTGACCCCGCTCTGCCCCCGCAGGACGGTCTGACGGGCGTGTGCCGCGCCGCCGAGCCGCTCTCCCTGCTCTACTCGACCGGTCCCGAGATCCGCGGGTACCGGCCCACCAATACCCGCTCCATGGACGTGATTCGCGGCCAGTCGCGCGTCGAGGCCGTCGACTACCACCCCAGGTGCGTGTCAGGACTCGGCTGGTGTGCCGCACCCCGTGTCCCCCACCTCCCTCAACCCCTGGCAGTCGGCTCGACCGGCGGATCTAGTCCGATGGCCGCCTTTTGGCGTACTCCCGAGCTTCTTTCTGCTGGTGGCGACTGATCAGCTGCGCCCATTCCGAGTGCAGTAAAATATTTGTAGGCCACACGAGTGTCTATTCTAGTTAATTCCGTGTTACAGGGCGCCTCACTTCTTGGGCGCGCAGTTGATACATGCTGGTAGCAAATACCCTGACGCGCCGTCACGCGGTGAATTTTTTTCTATAATTTTTTTTTCCGATGTTTTCCCGGCGGCGACACCTGTGTCCATATTCGCCTGTGTCCGTGCTTCGCTCACCGCGCTGAATCGTGTTGACCGGAGCGATCCGTTTCAGCAAGCACATGGTGTTCTGGACCGACTCGTTCGAGAAGGCCATCAAACGCTCCTACATTCCCGGCGACAAGGCAGACGCCAACATCGGCTTCGCACAGGACCTGGAGATCAAAAGTGAGTGGGCTGAGCTCGTGGTGACTTGGGAGAACGGCCGTCATCTGCTGAGACTTGGGAATAATAACTGTAAACTCGCCGTGTAATTGCTAGCGGAATGATGTGATGATGGGGCTAATTTGTTGATGGTGAAAGTGTAGCTGGTGAGTTGCTCTGTATCCTCTCCCTCTCCCCTCCCTACCACTCCTGGCACCCCACTGACCCCGCTCCCTATCGACAGGTAACGCCAAGCCGTCGGGTATCGCGGTGGACTGGGTGGCCGACCACCTCTACTGGACCCAGGTGGACCGGTCGGGCAGCAAGCCGCGCGGCGCCGTGGTCACCGCCACCACTGACGGCCGCTACAAACGCAGCCTGATCGCCACAGGTGAGTCGATACAAGCGCAGCCTGATCGCCACAGGTGAGTCGATACAAGCGCAGCCTAATCGCCGCAGGTGAGCCGTCGACTGGCACACCGGGCCCTCTGTCCATCTTTCAGTCTGTCGTTGGTCTGTCGGTCTGTCTCTCTGTCTCTGACGGTGCTGTTGACCTGTGTACGTTGTTACGCCTAGAGCGGCCCGTGTTAGTGGCCGTCTGTACCAGTCTGTCTGTGTCTCTGTGTCCCTCCGTCAGTATGTGACCGGTCGGTGTCCGTTCTCCCCAGGTCTGGAGCAGCCGGTCTCGGTGGCCGTCTCTATGTCTGTGTCTGTGTGTATCTGTCGGTATATGACGGGTGTCCGTTCTCCCCAGGTCTGGAGCAGCCGGTCTCGGTGGCCGTCTCTATGTCTGTGTCTGTGTGTATCTGTCGGTATATGACGGGTGTCCGTTCTCCCCAGGTCTGGAGCAGCCGGTCTCGGTGGCCGTCTCTATGTCTGTGTCTGTGTGTATCTGTCGGTATATGACGGGTGTCCGTTCTCCCCAGGTCTGGAGCAGCCGGTCTCGGTGGCCGTCTCTATGTCTGTGTCTGTGTGTATCTGTCGGTATATGACGGGTGTCCGTTCTCCCCAGGTCTGGAGCAGCCGGTCTCGGTGTCCGTCTCTATGCCTGTGTCTGTGTGTATCTGTCGGTATATGACGGGTGTCCGTTCTCCCCAGGTCTGGAGCAGCCCGTCTCGGTGGCCGTCTCTATGTCTGTGTGTATCTGTCGGTATATGACCGGTCGGTGTCCGTTCTCCCCAGGTCTGGAGCAGCCGGTCTCGGTGTCCGTCTCTATGTCTGTGTGTATCTGTCCCTCCGTCAGTATGTGACCGGTCGGTGTCCGTTCTCCCCAGGTCTGGAGCAGCCGGTCTCGGTGTCCGTCTCTATGTCTGTGTGTATCTGTCGGTATATGACGGGTGTCCGTTCTCCCCAGGTCTGGAGCAGCCCGTCTCGGTGTCCGTCTCTATGTCTGTGTGTATCTGTCGGTATATGACGGGTGTCCGTTCTCCCCAGGTCTGGAGCAGCCCGTCTCGGTGTCCGTCTCTATGTCTGTGTGTATCTGTCGGTATATGACGGGTGTCCGTTCTCCCCAGGTCTGGAGCAGCCGGTCTCGGTGCCCGTCTCTATGTCTGTGTCTGTGTGTATCTGTCGGTATATGACGGGTGTCCGTTCTCCCCAGGTCTGGAGCAGCCGGTCTCGGTGTCCGTCTCTATGTCTGTGTCTGTGTGTATCTGTCGGTATGTGACGGGTGTCCGTTCTCCCCAGGTCTGGAGCAGCCGGTCTCGGTGGCCGTCGACCCCGAGGAGGGCGTCATGTTCTGGTCGGACGTCGGCAGCATCCCCAAGATCGAGTCGGCCTGGATGGACGGCAGCAAGCGCCGGCTGCTCGTCAGTGACAAGGTGCGACAGCGTGTCTGAACTGAACACCGCCTCCTGAGCAACTGCATTACTCAGACGCCGAGTATCGCGGCTCCCCGCTCCCGGCCCCGGGACTGACCCCTGCCCCCCCCCCCCCGTCCCCAGGTGGAGCACCCGACCGGTCTGACGATCGACCTGGCCATGGACCACATGGTGTACTGGGTGGACACCAAGCTGAACCTGGTGGAGGCGATGCGCGAGGACGGCTCGCGCCGGCGCACCATCATCTCCGGGGAGCAGCTGCAGCACCCGTTCGCCCTGGACGTGTTCGAGAGCTCGGTCAGTCGCGCACGAAACAGAGATGTACCGGGCTGTCGGGGGAGGCCGTGGGTGGCTTTCCAACGTCACTCTGACCTTTTGGTACTTTAATTTGTTGTCGTTTACTGAAGTCGCCAAATGTGTTCCACGTCTCACTATCGCGTTGGTGCACTTTCCATCGGCTGTATGCCCTGGAGCTTCCTAAGTCCTGGGGAAGGAAGCGTACCCTCCACTGACCGGTCGTTTTGTCTCCGTGGTCAGGTCTACTGGGTGACCCGGGACTCGGGTGACATTTTCCGTATGGACAAATTCGGCCGCGGTGTGCCCGAGAAGGTCAAGGGAGACCTGGCCAACCCGACGAGCATCCGCGTGCTGCAGCCGCTCCGCTACAATACGTCAGTGGTGAGTCAGAGTCAGAGTCAGAGTCACTGAGTTCAACAGCCGGCTCCTGCAGCCGCAACGCTACAACACATCAGTGGTGAGTCAGAGTCAGAGTCACTGAGTCTTGCATACGCGTACTGCAGTCGCACCGCTAGAATACGTCAGTGGTGAGTCAGAGTCAGAGTCACTGAGCTCAACAGCCGGCTCCTGCAGCCGCACCGCTACAATACGTCAGTGGTGAGTCAGAGTCATAGTCAGAGTCACTGAGTTCAACAGCCGGCTCCTGCAGCTACACCCGGGTAACGCCAACGGGCTGAGTCAGAGTCAGAGTCGCTGAGTTCAACAGCCGGCTCCTGCAGCTGTGCCGGGGTAACGCCAACGGGCTGAGTCAGAGTCAGAGTCGCTGAGTTCAACAGCCGGGTCCTGCAGCTGTACCCGGGTAACGCCAATGGGGTGAGTCAGAGTCGCTGAGTCTTGCATCCGCGTACTGCAGCCGTACCGGTACAACAGATCAGTAGCGAGTCAGAGTCAGAGTCACCGAGCCCAGTGCTGGGGTACTGCAGCCCTACTGATACAGTACATACAACAGTGGTGAGTCATTCAGTTCAGGGCCTGAGAGTCTGGAGTCGGCGACTCGTGGCTTCGGCACGAACAGGGCTCTGGGCTGACTACAAACCAGCTGACAGTCCGCGGATCACTGTCGGCTGTCAGAGATACTCGGCAGCACCATTCGATGCACTATACCGTCTGACAAGGATGGCTCGGTGTAACTAGTCCGTTTGTATCTGTGCAGTGTGCTGGGTACGGCTCTGAGTGGACCATGGCCTGGCCTGCGCTGACCTCTTTGTGTCTGTGTGTGTGTTCCAGTCGAGCCGGTGCAACAGTAACCCGTACAGCTCTGAGTGGACCATGGCCTGGCCTGCGCTGACCTCTTTGTGTCTGTGTGTGTGTTCCAGTCGAGCCGGTGCAACAGTAACCCGTACAGCTCTGAGTGGACCATGGCCTGGCCTGCGCTGACCTCTTTGTGTCTGTGTGTGTGTTCCAGTCGAGTCGGTGCAACAGTAACCCGTACAGCTCTGAGTGGACCATGGCCTGGCCTGCGCTGACCTCTTTGTGTCTGTGTGTGTGTTCCAGTCGAGTCGGTGTGACAGTAACCCGTACAGCTCGGAGTGGACCATGGCCTGGCGTGCGCTGACGTGTCTGTGTCTGTGTGTGTTCCAGTCGAGCCGGTGTAACAGTAACCCGTACAGCTCTGAGTGGACCATGGCCTGGCCTGCGCTGACCTCTGTCTGTGCTGTGTGTGTTCCAGTCGAGCCGGTGCAACAGTAACCCGTGTTCGCACCTGTGTCTGCTGATTCCGGGCGGCTACCGGTGTTACTGTCCGGACAACACCCAGCTGCGGGACTCCTCCGGTCACATCTGCAACGCCGGTCAGTACCCCCTTCGGACCCCCCCCACACACACACATACACACATACACACATACACACACAACACGCAGCTGCGGGTCACTCCTCCGGTCACATCTGTAACGCCGGTCAGTCTGCGCCTCTCTCTCTCTCTCTCTCTCTCTCTCTCTCTCTCTCTCTCTCTCTCTCTCTCTCTCTCTCTCTCTCTCTCTCTCTCTCTCTCTCTCTCTCTCTCTCTTTCTCTCTCTCTCTCTCTCTCTCTCTCTCTCTCTCTCTCTCTCTCTCTCTCTCTCTCTCTCTCTCTCTCTCTCTCTCTCTCTCTCTCTCCCTACTTGGCCTACTTGCCAAGTAGGCCAAGTACCCGGCCAAGTACTACATGGCCGGGGGCCAAGTAGTACTTGGCCCCCGGCCATGGCTGATTATTGCATTTAGCTGTGACTTCAGTCTTTGATATGGAGCCTTTGGCTGGCCCGGCGCCGTTTGGATCCATATTGGGGTTTTTGTTTCAGTGTTGGGGTCTGTTCAGCGCTGGAACCGGTCTCTCTGACTGAATGGTCTGTGTGTTTCAGTTGTGGGGTCGGTCCCTCTGACCGCTGTGTTAGCGTTTCAGCGTTGAAGTCTGACCTGTGCGTCTGTGTGTTTCAGCTCTGGAGGCGGCGCGGCCGTCGCCGACCGTGTGTCGCTGCCAGAACGGCGGCGTGTGCACCGTGCCGGACGGCTCCGCGGCCGAGCCCATCTGCGAGTGTGAGGACCAGTTCAGCGGCCCGCTCTGCGAGACCTACGTGGCCAAACAGAGGGTCCACACCTCCGGCGGCGTGAGTACGGGCGACGCGGCCCAGGGAGCTTTCGATTCGCACTGCTTTAGCGGCGTTTCCTAGTTGAATTTTTGCTTACGAAGTTTTAGGAAAATTATTTGAACTTATCGATAACTCTTCAAATGGCAGCGGCTTCCGTTGTAGCTTTCATCGTCTGGTTAGATTATATGTAGCTTGTGCGCTTTATGTATAGGCTGGTCCACACGCTGCCCAACTGATTTGAACTGTGACCTGTCGTTCCCGCGGACTGCGCCGTCTGCGCGCCGTGTGTGCCCGCTGCTGACCGGCCGCTCGGTCCGCGTTTCACAGACGAACCCGGCGGCGTACATCATCCCGATCCTGCTGATCGTGCTGATGGTTGGCGCCGTGGTCGGCTACATGGTGGTGAAGCGGCGCGGCGGGTGAGTCCGTGGGACGGGGAGGGGCGCGGGGAGGGACCCAGGGAGGGGCGGGAGGGGTGCGGGAAGGGGCAGGGAGGGACCAGGGAAGGACAGAGTGGGACAGGGAGGGACATAGGGAGCGGCGCGGCGGGTGAGTCGGCGGACCGAGGAAGGACGTAGAGGGGCGCGGCGGGTGAGTCTGTGGGACGGGGAGGGGCGCAGGGAGTGACATAGGGAGCGGCGCGGCGGGTGAGTCGGCGGACCGGGCAGGGGCGCAGGGAGGGTCAGAGAAAATGAGAGACCGCGCACCCTAGTAAGATAACCCCAGTCGAATAACTAGCCGTGCGTCACGGCGACCTTGAGTTGGCTGACAATTCGTCGGACACTCCGACACCCCGTCTGATAGTAAATCGGCGACCCAGTGTCTAACCATGAGCCATCTTACCACCCCGACCCCGAGTCGGTGGACCATCTGACCGTGCTGACATCTGATAGTGCATGTGAATCTGACCGCTCCGCTGTGTGTCCCGGCAGCGGTAAGATGGTGTCGGGCGGCCTGCCGGGCGGCTCCACCAGCGTCTCGTTCCGACCGGGCACCAATGTCGAGTTCGGAGCCAACGGCGCCTCCGGGCCCGAGGTGAGCCACTCGCACCGGCGCAGAGTCAGAGTCAGAGTCAGAGTCGGGGAGTCGGCCGCCGAGTCGAGCCGATTCTGGGTGGGAGATAAAGTGACTAGTGAGAAACCAATGTCAGCAGTGAATTTTTTTTACAATAGAGTGTCTTAGAGTTAGTGTTCTGACGAGACAAAACTACGCTCGAAGAAGCCATTGTCATGTGTGTAGTGGTGTGCTGGTGACTGACTCGGCTTTAATTCTTTCCCTTCCGGTGCGGCGACAGCCTCTGGACGCCGGCATTGACCTGGGCGGCATTGACGGCAAGACGAGGAACTTCAGTAACCCCATGTACGACACGATGGGCAGCCTGGAGGCCAACGGCGACCAGGCGGCCACGGCCGGTGAGTGACGAGCGCGCCCGGCTATACACGGCGCCGTCTCAGTGGGGAGCATGCAGACCTGGCAGTCTGACAGGGCAGCTGGGTGGGGCTGGCTCACTGGGTTACATACCGTGGCCTGGAGATACTCTAGAGTCGGCCAATGTCTGTCCGGCCAATGAGGGCCGATGGCTGGTTATCACTCGCTAGACGAACTGTAGCCGTGTTCGTCAGTGTGACGTGTCTGACCTATCGACCGGCCCAGAGACCCTAGAGACCCTCCGTTTGACCTATCGGCCGACCCAGAGACCCTAGAGACCCTCCGTCTGACCTGCCGGCCGACATCTGACCCCAGTGTGACCCGTCGACAGACATCTGACCCCAGTGTGACCCGTCGGCCGACCCAGGCTCCCTCCGTCCCCAGTCCTCCGTCCAGTCCAGTCCTCCGTTCAGTTCAGTCCCAGACCCAGTCCTGCTCGCCGTTTGGCCCGCCGACCGTCCCCAGCACCCTCTGACCCCGCTCTGACCTGCGGCCCGTCGTTGACGTCCCCTGACCTGGGTAATGGGTATGACCCGCTCTGACCCGTCTCCCGTCGCCGACAGCCGTGTACGAGGTGCCGTCCGACATCAAGTCGGACCCGGCTGTACTGGCGCCGTCCAGCGTCGAGACGGCTGCCGCGGCGCCCGTACCTCGCACCCGGGAGACCAAGCCGGCCACCTACGACTCCGGCAAGGACACCCAGCAGCTGGTGGAAGAGGACGAGTACGACTGCTAGCGACATCTCGGGGCCGAGCGATGAACTATAGGTGCCGCCGGTGTCCGCCGGGCGGCGGCGGCGCGGTGCAGTGGTGAGCCCCGGCGGCGGGCTGGACGGACCCAGTGAGCAGACTGCGCCGCGGGCCGCCGAGACCGGCGCCGGCTCCGCAGCTTGTTACTGCAGTGAGTGATCATTGGTGAACTGTGTTATTATCAATTGTGTTGTAATATTTTATCCCCCATTCCATAGCGAGTCTCGGCTGTTCTTTTTTAATGCGTTGTTGACTTTGCGTACATCTCGATCTCATCAACGCAGACTTTGCTAGTGCGGCACTCTTTTAACGTGGCTGTTGGCTCGGTAGTGTCTTCTGTTCGCTCCTGTATCGGGCTGGGTGGCTGGGGTTTAACCGTGTGACCGGGCGGCCGAGCCCGTCCGACCGTCCGCGGCGGCCGCCGAGTGCGCGCCGCCCCGACCGATTCCGTCCAGCGCGCGCGTACCGCCGCGCCGAGACGGCTGTGCACTCCGCCTGACCTGCTATGCAAGCGTCATTGTTCACCGGGATATCCGAGAGAGTGCGTGTGAGAGAGAGACGGAGAGAGCCCGAGTGAGAGCGACAGAGAGAAACAGATTATAATGCATTGTTTTTGCGAAAATGTATTGCTGTCAATACAAGTGGTTACGTGATGAGGGACAGCGGGTGTTTATCGATTGCAGGCGGGTTTCAATAGAAAATAGGTGTGGTTTGATTTGGCAGACTGCTAAGGGTGGGTTCGCCGTGCAGCTATGGGCATAGCGGGGCCAACGCTATCGCTCCCCTCCATGCGAGCTCCACCCTGATCTGCTATAATAGGCGATACGGATTTATTGTTCCCAGCTGACCAGCCGTTCCGGGAACCTCCCGACGAGCACAGCATTCCCCGGCAGCAGGGCGGCCGCACGCGCCAGCTGACGGCACTGCGGGTAGCGAGTGTCGCCGGGGAGACGCGCTGACCCGACCAGAGATTTTTCACAAGTCTGACGATAATAGTACACAAATATGTGGGTGGAAATGTCGTGCATCGCACCGTCCTTTTCGTGGTATTATGGATCATTCCTGACATGCAAAAGGAAACCTTTACAGTTCAGCGAGACAAGCGGTTCTTGGCTCAGCTTTCCAGCGCTATCGGACCTACTTTCGTCTCTGCATCGCTATTCGCTCACAAGCCGACTTCAAACAAATGTTTTATTTTCAGAGAAACACTGAGTACACCGATAGGGGAAACAAGGAAGGCACTTTGACTACTGCGACACACAGAGAACGGCTAAGCACGGTGGGCGCGGTCGGCTACGGTCGCGCGGTTCGGCACGGTACCGCGCACGGTACGGTACGGCTCGGTCTCTGTCCGTTCTGGTAGGGGAGGCTCGGCCCGGGCGGAGCACTGGGCCGTCCTAGGTCCGACCGAGAGGGCCACTGTCGGCCGATACTACTTCCACCGGACACCAAAACGGCTCCGAAAACACCGACTGAGTGGGGACCGCGCTGACCAGTGGGGACAGTCCTCTCAGAGTGGGACTGTGCCCAGTAGGGGCAGTTCCGTCCGACCTGGGACTGTGCCCAGTAGGGGCAGTTCCGTCCGACCTGGGACTGTGCCCAGTAGGGACAGTTCCGTCCGATCTGGGACAGTGCCGAGGGGGGACAGATCTGTCCCACCTAGAACAGCACCGAATGGGGACCGGTGGCGGCTCTAACGCCCCTACCGCCGGGCGTGGGGCTGAGTAGGGACAGGGGAGGGGCCACTGGCGGCAACTGAGCAGCACCGGATGAAGATGATGCCAGGCGGCTACATTCACACATTTCACACACATTTGCACGTCATGACACACGCTCACTCACATGCGAAAAACGTGCACGACTTGTGGCTTGTTTTCGCTTTCGGATGGGCCAGTTCGATTTTATTTGCCCACCCCGAAACTATAGAGTTAACTGTTCAGTGCTAGGTGAAGTTTCTATAACAAAGAACGATAAGTAGAACTTTTGACACCAGCATGAACGAACGGGAGCCGGCAGCCGGTCAACCACTCACAGACACACCCGTTTTACACCCATACGCGCACAGCAGTCGCTCCGACTCGCGGCCTGCACGGGGTACAGAGCCACCAAGTCGCTGTCGCCGTCCGAGGGTCTTATGATGAAGGTGCCACCTCTCCGCGGGGTGTGTGTTGAGAGGGAGGGGCGCCTGTCGCCCAGACAGGTCACACACAGTGGGGAGGCCCGTGTCGGAGCCGCCGGTACCCCAGCGCCGGTGACGTGGAGGGTTGGTGGTAAGGTGCCCTATAAGGACGCCCCAGCATCTCAGGCAGCCGGGGCACCACGTGTGAAACTCTGGGCAGCCCCCGCCGCGGTAACCGAGTTGCATATGACATCGCCATCGGGGTGGTAGCGTTACAGGGTGCCTGTCGGTCCTACAGGGGCGCGGCGCACCCGTTCGGACCGTCCGCCGCCGGCCCGACAGTTATTGCAGAGTTGGGGCGGGCGACGTGGGACAGAGCACCGCTGTCCTCACCGGGAGCTACCTACAGATACCACCAGATACAGCAGATACTAGCCGAGACATCACCACCCGACATAGTAGATAGTCCGCGAGACATCGCCCCCGACACGGCAAATACTGTCGGGCGGACACCAGCACCAGACACGGCGGGACCACGGCCTACGAACTGTGCCGACACAGGGCCGCAGGTTGACCGTCTTCGCCGAACACCGCCCGGGACAGCCACCGCGGACACACCGGACACGGGGTCTACGGACGAGGACACCGGACAGCTGCCCGCTGCCGCCACCGCGCGCTACGCTACACAGCACAGAAAATAGAGTCCATCCACGCAGTCAACAAGAGCGCCAGCGCTACCGGCCCCTGAAAGCTCCTGGACGCCTAGGTGGCTAGCGGGGTGGCGGGCGGGCCGGCGGCAGGGGTGGCGGGCTTTGTACGGGCCGCGGCGTTGGACGCCGTGCCGGCCGGCCGACCGTCCCGGACCCGCCCGCTGAGCAAAGATCACAGACACACAGAGACACTCGCAGACGGGGCCGGCCGGCGGCCACCACTACCGATCGCCGCACCGTCTTAGAGGCAGCGCCGCCGGCCCCGCGAGCGGCGGGTCCTACAGAGCACCGGACACTGGGCAGCGAGGGCGCCGAGCTACAGCGTGCAACAAGACGGCAGCAGCAGACCGACCCATGGACCAGCAGACACGAAACTAGGGAGGGATGTGGATGCAGCTACTACAGAGGATGCCAGAGACAAAACATAACGCGTGAAACTTCAAAGAAATGCACTACGGCCACAGCTGGTTGCAATGCACCAGAAAACTTCCTTGTTTTGTTGAATTTAGTCAAGACTCCAATTTCGTTCACAGTGTTGCGGCTAAGATCTGCTGGATTTCTTTCATGTGATACGTTGCACCCCTTAGCTACAGATCAATCATGACGCATGAGATCATTTTCGTCCCATAGTGACTCATAGTTCTTCTACACCGTGCGATGCGTGAATGAGCATCTTCAGCGTTCACAAATATAAATAAATGAACATATTCATTAGCGAACTGCTTACAAGCAGCTGATGCGATGAAAGCTTTCTAAAACAAAGCAGCAATGACCAAATTTGTCAGAGGCGCGTCTCGCATTTATCTGTAGAGTTAAGACATTCTAGTTTACTATGTTACTCATTTTATCTGATTATGACTAAGTGATAGCTAGACATTGACCACTAAACAATATTCAATGAGCAAAGACGGTCGGCATTTTATATGCATCTTTTCGACAATCAGCGGCGAAATTCCTATCATCCATAAAGTCTCACGACCGTCATAATGACCAGGGTTGGCTATGTTTGCGAATACCAATATGGTCGAGATGAGCCATCTGAAAGGAATGACTGAGCCATGCACGAAAATATCTTCTATGCACAAAGGAACACGACATAGGGACAAAAAGTAATAGAGTATGTAAAAAAAACTACGCATTCCGCTGTCTGTGCCCTAATTAAAGGTAAACACTGAGAGATGGAAAAAGTGGCTCGTGCGCTCGCCTGTTTGAGATACCTGTCGACTGCTGTCACCCCTCCCTCCGAGCTGTCAGCGGGAGGCGAGTCGCGAGGTGACCAACAGGGACGCCCCCAGGCGAACAGACCCGATCCCCAACACAGGTGTACCAGCGGCGTGCAAAAGCACACGGTCACACGACCAAACGCAGCGTAGAGCCGCTAAAACGAGAAACAAAACAGAAAGGCATAGACCAACTACTTTATTCGAAAAGCTGCCAAAAACAAATAGGAACAATTAATATTAATTAACAATGAATCTAATAAACCATGCGAAGGAAATGCGAAACAAGAACAGCGTGAGACCCACAGGGCGGGGCGGCTGCCCTGGCCGCCTGGAAAGCTCGGCATGGTTGTCGTGCACACTCTGACAGGGCGACATAATCCACGTGACCTCGGTTTGTGACAGGGCGACATAATCCACGTGACCTCGGTTTGTGACAGGGCGACATAATCCACGTGACAGAGATGGTGTCAATTAAAGCTACGCCGCAAACAACGCCAGACAACCTATAAATAATGATCGCTAAAAGAGCTGCCCACTGGGCTGCCTCGTGTCGGTCCGGCCGCTGGCGGCCCCACCCGCTTGGCGCTGGGCGCGGCCGGCGGTCGCACGCGGCGCCACCACGCCACCGTCCGGCGCACCATAGAGTCTTCAGTCATGTAACAACGGCGCGGGCGCCGGCACTGCGCCCATTTGACACGTGAGCGGCCGTCCCGGCGGGCGGCGCGGCCCTATTGCAGCGGCCGGCAGTCCGGGCGGCCCATCACAGCACCGGCCGCCGGCAGCGGCACCCGCCCGCCGGCCGGCCCACAATAAATACTCTCAGCCGGCGGCGGTCCGTCTGGTCCCCGCGCTGAGCGCTCGTCGGACGGCGCCGCGCCACTACGAGTAGATGGTGATCACCTCGCGGCCGCCGCCGCGCACCATCAGCACCCGGTCCAGACCCTCTGTCAGCACCTCCAGAAACTCCATGTCTGCGAGCGCCGAGTCAAGGAAACCAAACGACCGGCTGCGGTCGGCGACACAGGGTGTTACACACACGACACGGGGAATAGCATATACGGCATCCGAACGTAACGTACAGGACACGAGGTGTAAGACAAACGACACAGGGTCTAAGGGGAATAAGACAAACGACACAGTAAGGGGAATATCATACACGGCACGGGGAATAGCATGCACGACGACAACATACACGTCATGGGGCACATACACACCGCACGGGACTCGGCTCATGCATCGCAAGTCACACAATGAAACGTCAAAGGAAAATTACTGTAGCAGGAGCATTAGAAAACATCAAAAGACACTCCTTCATCAAGGGGCAGGGAGAAGAGGAACATCTGGATGACAATGCATATGCATGCAGGACCGGGAGTGGGACGGCAGGGGACGAACTGGGCCGGGCAGTGAGCAGGACGAGAATAGCAAACCGGCCAAATAGGAGCTAAGGAAAGGACCACACTGACTCGGTGTGCTTGCCGCCTGGGACACAGTTCTCAAGCGTGCACATTGCATCTCACCACCTCCCATTGTAAAACATGACATATCTTCCGCTCCTAACTCGTAGCGCATTGAGATGCGAGTCGGAAGCAGAAAATATACCATGTATTGCAATGGATGGTGATGAGACGCGATTTGCACGCCTGAAAGCTGTGCTCTAGCCTTGCGCGTGTGAGTGCCCTCCCATCCTGTCCCTCCGCACAGCCTCTGCCGGCGTCCAAAGAGGATACAGTTGGAGTCGTTTTTGGCGCTCTGCAGTTTGGGCGGCCCGGGCAGGTTGACGATCACCAGCTGGGCGTCGTGTGATTTGCTGACGATTACCTCGTTCAGCTTGACGGCCGTGTGCATCCGGCGCACGTTGGCCTTATCACTGGAACACGGCAGCGACACGCAGACGATCAGTCAGCGTTCACATTACGCACACAATAAACAAAGTAAACAAACCAAGTTACCTAGCCAAAACTGTATGGAAATTTCATCGTAAGATATCCAACTCAGAGGCGCAGTATACACCGAGGTTACACCCTCAGCCGCAGTCGAGCAGCGCTGGCGACCCAGCACCGGCGACTACATGGCAGCGCAGGTGGCGCGTGCCGTCTCACTCACGGTTTGATGTCGAGCAGCTTTTTGAAGCCGTCTTTGGTGGCGGGCGCGGCGTCGCCGGCCGGCTCGACGTCGGCCGGCGCCGGCTCCTCCTTCCGCTCCTGGGAGGGTGACCGCGAGCCGGTGCCGTCGGCCAGGTCCACCTGTGGCGGAGGGCCGTCAGCGGGCGGGATACGGTGGACGGCGCGGCCGGACCAGCGAGACGGGCACAGCCCGATACCGAGACAGTAGGAACACAACCGAAAACACGGCTACTGAGAAGTGTCTATAAAGTCTAGGGAATTATTTGAATACCAGCGACGAAGCATACCACATACGTTACACTTGTTCAAAACATTTCCAGTTGAATGTACATAGTTATAACTAAAAGCTATGTTTTCATTTTTAGGGAGATCATAAAAGACAATGGGAGAAATAGATCGAGAACACAGCACGACGCGAATCGCCCAGTCAACGAAACAGGCTGTCCAGACACTACACTGAAACTCATGAATGGCAGTGTCATACACCAATGCAACCAGTGACGGATATACCAATGCAGATAAAACCAGCTCTTGCACTGACTTGATCTGGCACACGTCACTCAGTGCCACACCGATCCGTCCAAAATCACACGTCACGAGCGCAGCATCCACCGACATACGGCGCGCCTGCTCAGCGGCTGCCTGTGTGTGTGTATGTACAGTGCGGCAGCGGGCGGGTGGCGCGCAGGCAGCGAACGGTGCACTAGGTGCCGGTCGGTCGGCCGACGGCGGTGTCTAGTCAGCCAGGCGGCGACGGCAGCGGACTCTGCTGTGTGCTCCCCGGCCACCCCGGGCCCGGGGGACAGTGCCGGTGCCGCGGCAGACAGTGCGGGCCGCGTCTTACGTGAACGCCCTCGGCCGACGCCGCTCCGTGGTGATTGTAGCGTGCCGCCGAGTACGACTGAAACTGTGCCCCCGGGCGTCAGCGCCGCGCCGAGCACCGAGCCGGGCACAGCGGCAGACCAGACCCATACAGAGGCAGACCAGACCCATACAGAGACAGACGGGACCACACAGGGTGGACCAGACCCATACAGGGCAGACCAGACCCATACAGAGGCAGACGGGACCACACAGGGCGGACCAGACCCATACAGAGGCAGACGGGACCCATACGGGACAGACCAGACCCTCACAGGGCATACCAGGCCCAAACAGAGCAGACGAGACCCACACAATCGGAACAGATCGACACAGCGCGAAGTCGGAACAAGCCAGCACAGGGAAACTTTGTTGGACAGTTTGAACAATGTTAGTCTGTTGGACAATATGATCAGGCTTACATAGGACACAAGGATGGAGCGAACTAACACCATGAATCAAAAGGACGCCAGGGCCAAGGTTTAACCAAAACCGCTGAGATAACCACCGCACGGCTTTCTGGACAGACGAGGGGTACCACAGTTGAATTATGAACACGACCGTTAACATGAAGAACAGTGCCACGTCGCTGTGATACCCGGGCCCCGGCGCGGCGCGGCCAGCTCAGAAGCCGCGCAGAAGCGACCAAAGCGGCGCGTGTAGACTGTAGAGTCGTGCGGAGGGCGCGAGTGGACACTGGGTGGACAGCTCGTGGACACTGGTGATGTAGACCGCGGACAGCGGGCGGACACTGGTGATGGTCAGCCGCGGACAGTGGGTGGACAGTGGGTGGACGGCGAATGGACACTGGTGATGGTCGGCCGCGAACAGGTGGACAGCAAGTGGACGGCCGTGGACAGCCGGTGGACACTGGTGGTCGCGGACAGCGGGTGGACAGCGAGTGGACACTAGGCCGACAACGTGTGGACACTGGCGGTGGACGGCCGTGGACAGCGGGTGGACAGAGAGTGTGGACACTGGTGATGGTTGGCCGCGGACAGCGCGTCTGTGGATGTGAGAGAGCGAGAAGCCGCAGCCGCAGCCCTAGTGACAGAGACAGACAGAGAGACACAGAGAGTGCGCCGTGCCTCCAGAGATCCGCGTCCGGCGTCCGGGTGACTGCCAGTGTCGGCCGCAGCCGGAGCCGCAGCCGGAGCCGGAGCCGGCGCCTCGGCCGGGGCGGGGGCGGGGGCGGGGGCGGGGACCGGGGCGGCCGCCGCCGGCCCGCTGGGCTCCACGGTGCGGCTCCTGCCAGCGCTGAGCGCCGCCCGCAGACTCGCCTGTCGGGGACACACAGACGGCGAGGGCCGCGCCGGTCAGCGCCGGCCGCCGTCAGGTCAGACAGTGTCGGCCGTCCAACCCTAGGTCAGCGCTGGTAGCCTGTACCCGTCAGCCCTGGCCGCTGCTCGGTCAGTCAGCGCTGACCGCCGCCGGCACGGTCAGACGCTCCCGTCAGCGGCCGGCCCTACCTGTCTGCGCCTGTCGCTGAGACCCGCCGGGGCATTCTTACCGAGATGTCCGGCGTGACGGCCGCCTCCTCCGGCAGCACGCGCTCCAGGAAGTGCACCTTGGAGTTACGCGCCGGCGGCGAGTCGACCCCCTTGAAGCTCTTGTCGACAATGTCCTGGACCTGGGGGGCGGCGGCCGGTGAAGCGGACGGCACTCGCGCACACTGCGTGTCGCCGCCACTCAGTCGGCGGAGTAAGCGGAGCCAGCCACGCGACACGGAGACCAGCGTGAACGCATGTAGGGGTGACAACCAGTGACACGGACGATATTCAACGATTAGAGGGAGCGGCTCGTTGTTCATAGCATCTCGAACAAATGACTTAGGAGCCGATATAATAAAATAAAAACTTAAGAAACGTTCAAAGCACGTTTCGCCTTGTGCAAGTTAAATGGCGAGTCTGGTGTTGCCGCTGGCCGCTGGAAGCTCAGCCACCGTCGTGCCGTTACGGCACCAGGTCCGGGAGTAAGGTCTCCAGACCGACGGTACTCAAAGAAATTCACCGCTCACACGCCAAAGCAGGGCAGTCCCTGGTGAAGCTGCATCTGCTTGGCTTTACATTTTAGTCAGAGGAGGATGAACCGCTCCCTTTAATACGGACCTACAGTTGGATGTATGAATGCACGAGCGATGGCGAACTGCGGTGATGAAACACACTGACCTAACACACAGCCTGCAAATATCAAACCAATAGGTGAGCATCGTGAGGCAAAAACCTGACCGTAAGCAGCGTTCATAAATCTAGCAAAATCGATAAAACATTGACATCAGTATTCAATACAATTCAACTAATATTTGATCCAGATGTCAGCTTAAATTCTGAAAGATCAGCTACCTGTATATTGGTACCTACTTGAACAGATACCTATACAGGTATACGTGTGAAAAGTCGCATTGGACATGAGCGGCGAGCTCAAAATGTGAGTGACGATAGTCATGCATATGCGATTCTTTTTATTTACAATAGCGGCCCTGACCAAAAAAGATTTAGTTTCTTCATGCGGGTTTCAGCAATTTATTATTAAGAGTCACTCCTTGGAAATGCGACTTAGGTATTCTATTAGAGATCTAAAGTAAATATGTAAATGGTTCAACCTTTTTATCAAATATTACTGATAAACATCAGGAGACCGAGACTGAGACGTGAAAAGGTCTGACTCTGCAGAGGCGGGGTGCCATAGAGCAGGCCCCTCGGGAGTAGTGAATACGGACGCCGGTGAAAACGGCGCCTGAGGGCATATTAGTCACGTGACATTTAGAGCTTCTCTCCCTTCGTAGGCCTTCTATATGCCAAACGTCACGTGTAAATTTCACGAACCTTGATCAAATCGCCCCAGGCGCCCTGTTTTCACCGTCGTCCGTGAATACCGCCTGATTCCGACTACGGGGCATTAAAGGTAGTGTGCCACCTTCGAATGATTTCCCATTTTATTTTTCCTAGGATAAGAAGCTTCTGTTTTTACATAATATCGCAAAAAAAATCAAAAATGGGCCTAAAATAGTGCTTTTTTCGCCTAAAAGTTTATCGGTTTTTCGATATGTATAACAACTGTAGTGGGCTGACCTGCAAACAGGCCGGTCGGCAACAATCACGAATGCGGCGCACATGTGACAATAAGCAAAGGTCATTATAGAGTTACGAGTTACGACGTACGGGAATGAGTTATCAGCTGTCTAATCGTAGACAACACAATGTCGAATTTAAACTGTAAGCCTGTATTGGTATTGTTTCTTTAATTTGGCTGTCAAACATTAATTTATGGTTTGAAATATTATTTTATGTAAAATAATTGATATGAAACAGCCGTCTCTCAAGTTATGACCCCATCTCACCACATGAAAGTGGCAGAAATGACAATGATCAGCTGACGCATTTTTCTTGGCCGAAGTCAGAGCGTGCGGCCCGACGCACCACCACCGCACCACAAAGTATGAGCAGAAGCCGCGCCCAAAGCCAGGGCCCCGGTAACGTGAGATAGCCGAGTCGGGGCAGCGTGCGCTGACCCAAGCCGGGGCCGCGGCTTTGGGCGCGGTCTACCGCATCCCCGCGGGCAGCCCCGGGCTATCACATGACACCGGGAGGACGCGCGGCCCCGGCTTGGGTCAGCGCACGCTGCCCAGACTCGGCTACCTCACGTTACCTGGGCCCTGGCTTTGGGCGCGGTCTACCGCACCACCTAACAGGCGTGTTCGAAACCGCAGGAGATGATGATGAACGGGTTTATCGAAACTTATCGATTGGATGAACCTATCGGTAATATATAATATCACACGGGGCCGGTAAAATGTTTCATTCAGGACCGAGGGATTTGTTGAGTTTTCCGCACGAGACCGAAGGTCGAGGGCGGAAAATTCAACAAAGCCCGAGGTCCTGAATGAAACATTCCGGCCCAAGTGTGATATTTATTTTAGCATATGCCGTTTAATTTCCATATTTAAGCTTCTTTAACAATTGTACATGCTTGAAAGAAGTGAAAAAAAAAAAACAAGAACGAATATCAAGAACTAAAAAATGTACGTATTTCCTGACCTTAAGATAATAAACCAAGCCGACTCAAGATCACTGTGTTCCATCCTTAGGGCTGTTCGGCTGCGCAGCCAAAATGAAATATGCTGCAGCACGCATGCGCAGTGAGGACTGCGTCGCCCGTTAGTCCCGCCCACACCACTGCGTCACCGCCTGTGTGACGTCACCTACTGAAGCATGCTTCGTTTTCCTGCAGCACGAAATTCGGTGCTGCAGGAGGCGAAAGTGGCGCGGATTAAAGTTTGCCATCCAATATTTCTTATTGCAAGCGGTTTGTATGCTGTTTTTTGGGTATCATTATCACTCTTTTCGGTGGCACATTGCTATTAACCACATTTGAACGCAATTTAACCGTTATTCGAGCGAAAATCACCAGTCCACCCGCGCAACGGTTCGCCGCGTTTGAAATAGGCTGCAGCGACGCTCGGCCTGGATGCGCAACTCCGCCGCTTTGAGCGACACATGTGCGTTCTGCGCATGCGCAGGTTCTAGCCACGACGGCGCGGCCAGTCGGCGTTCTGAGCCTATGGAGGTTGGTGGTGCGGCGAAAGAGTTTTAGTTTTTTTTTGTGAGCATTTCATTGAGTTCGTCGAAGAATCGGATATTTTCTGAGGTAAGAACACCGGGGCATGCCGGTGAACATATCGGTTCCTTCGTGAAAGTGCTTGAATCGGTGATATTCAAGGGTTTGTAATGGCGTCTTGTTAAGGCTCGTGCGTCGGCTTTCACAGACATCCCATTTTCTTATTAAATTATATCAGATAAATCTGGATAGTTGAGTGATTCGGAATTTCGAAGCATTCAAAATTGAAATAGGCTCATGAAATAAAAGCTGACTTGCTTCACTTTTAAGTTATTGTAACTCAAAGTATACAGACAAAAATGGCGCATGATCACATTCTATTTCCAGTAGGGTGAGGTTCCTAATTCTTATATTTTCATATTTAATGGAGTTTGAATTTAGCTTGAGTTAGCTTAAATTTATTATTTGTTCATATATGGGGCTTTGAAAACATGTTGTTTAGCATAACTTTTGATATTTTTCCCCCATACATGCATCATTGCATGATTAAATGGAGAAAGCCAGGCATTAAAATGGCATGTGCATTATACTACACTTTTGAAACATACAAGAAGTCAATGTTGATTGGTTCCCCAGACGTGTAGGAAAATATGTTTTCCTGCACCTCTAGACGTTTTCCTGCACCGCTCAACATTGACATTTTCCTACACCTCTTGAATCTATGACGTCATGAATGATTTCACATCATGAAGTTGAAGAGCATCACTTGGCTTCTTATGAATTAATTTTATCAATCATCCACATCCCGATATGAAACTTTGACGCTGTTTTGCAACAAAGCATGTCAGGCTGTTGTGCTTGTATTGGTTGTGTGGGCGCAATATGACCTTAGTTGTTGACGCGCCCTAAAACCCCAACAAACAAACAAACAAAATTGTCTTTGTTGTATTCGTGAAAGCACAAGTATGTAGGTACCTACAGGACATCAGACAAGTACAAGACATGATTCAGCGAGAGATATTGGTGATCCCCTATAAGGGCGGTTGCCTTTCCCTGCGGCCTTGACTTGACTTTGCTTCTTTTCTTGACTTTGGTCAACTTTGCCTCTCTTAATGGTTTAAAAACCGGATCACTGTCCACTTGAAGTCAATTCTTTCCATGCAATAATTATTGCTCAGCAAAAATAAAATTTCACTAGAAATGTGATGATATTTGAGTGGATTGTTTGCGACTTACCTATGGGAATATCTTACAAGGGTTACAAATGTTACAAATATTATATTATATCTTACTTCCACAAGTGTTGTGTTGCTGTGAAATCTTCTCCTAATTCTTGTTTTTAAAACAAGTGTTTAGGTATCTATGCCATGTTTCATCCTAATTTCTTTGCTATTTTTGTTTCAGATCTTGATCAAGATGGGGAGGGATCATGATGGAAGCTCATGGTGTGGTGCCATCAATTGCAGCACTTACAAAAAACGCAATCCTGAGCTGAAGTTCCACAGGTTTCCTAAAGATGCTGAAAGGTAAAAAAGCTGTGCATCTTGATAAATCGAGATTGTGTAAAAAAATTATATTTAGGGTGCTGAGCTGATGTTCATACATGTTCTAATTATACAAATGGAATGCATTTAAAGTTCCTGGTGGCATTAAGTACAAGTAAATTGTAACTTGTGTTTAGTTTTTAACACTTACTGAATGCAGGTCATTTTCGGAGTTTTCAGTATTCCATTAGTTTGGCGCATGTTTTTTTTTTTGTGTGGTGGATTCACATGACTGTGCAATGTGTACATGACTTAAGTGTTTTTAAATTCTAATCCATGGGTTTTCTCTCTCGGCAGATGCAAAAAATGGGTGCAAAATTGCAGAAGAGAGGACCTGAGAAACAAGAGTACAGAGTATTTGTACAAGAATGTTTACTTGTGTTCCCGGCACTTTGAGACTTCACAGTACAACACGAGTGGAAAGTACCTTCTGCGCACTGCTGTGCCAACTCTTTTTGACGTGCCTAACCCTCCAGCTACTTTGGCAACAAAAAGAGTTCTGCATGAGCGCCAAGATCCACCGGCTAAA